TTCTCAGCATACTCCCGTAATCGCAAATCCAATATAGTATCAAGCAGGACTGAACGCGTAGGTCCGCGCACCTGCATTTTTAAACCTCGTATAGAATAAAAGATAAAGCGTTCAGTACTGATCTATCCTTCGGTGATGAGTTATGCCTTCTACTCTAACGGGCTCCGCAGAATGGTTAAATGCATATTTGGCTTATATTGTGCAAGCCACCCGAGTCAGTACTTTACCGTTCCAGATAAGTCTGGTAGCAATGTGCCAACTCGGCTACGATAGACGATTCATTTTCCCACGAGATTTGGAATGAACAAACAATCACATGTGCATTACGGAGCACCACTAACCCTCTAGAATTCCGAAAAATAAAGGCCCATAACTTTATTTATTCGTGAGTTTCCTTTTTAATTTTTTCCAAAGTCACGGCGACCCGAGTCAAGTGTACGCAGCAGTTGTCCGATTCTCATAGGATGGATTATCATGGTAAAAACAAGTAAATCTAGATGCTTCCCAACAGTTTACCGCCTCACATTGGCTGGGAGGTATTCTTCAGTGTGGGGCTGCAATGTTCGGCGGGAGGACTCATCCCCCAGCAGGAACTCCCAAGCTGAGAAGGAGTCCGTCTTTTTCATCAGAAAGCCTAGCTAGGAGTAAACCAACACCAGGATCCATCATCGCCCTGGTATTAAACTAGTCGGATGGCGGCAAATTTCAATCCGATCCACAAGGGCTGCGACTGCTTGTGGTGGTGACGACCAGGGGCATACTTTGGCTAGGCTGACCTCAGAACCCCAGGGAAACACAGTGGATAAGGCAGCAAAACTCCGAAAAAAGGAGAATATGCTGTGGCCCACACAACCAGTGAGGACGGGTCGTCCAAGAATCCAAGTAAGTAAGTAAATCTGGATGGCAATCGAACCAGAACTGTCCTGTATCCTGTGCTCCTGAGCGCGATCACTTCATTCCAGCAGCAAGAATCGCCCTATGTATAAGGCCGTAATCGGTAACACCTTGTTCGCGCACTGCTCCACTCTACTCGATTCTATTCGATGCAACAACTATGAAAACCCACACCACAAAAACAACTTCTATAGACATTCTGTTCGAATCGTCGTGGCTCCGAAGAAAGCCATGACGCCAGAATAAAACCAGAATAAATATATGCTATATATATATATATATGTATATATATATATATATATATATATATATATATATATAATAGACAAGAACTGGGCATGTATGCGTACCAAGTGCTTGCATTCCTCATACAATCATTTCTAGAACGAAAAACTTCCTATTACATCTATACGAATAATGAGATAACTACTTGACCGTAGGTGACATCCACGCAACCAGGTTCAGTAACAACGACTTATACACTCAAAAAGATAGAGAACGTTCTTGAGTCTTCTGTGGCATTACAAGAAAAGCATAAAAGCGCATAGTGGCTGCTAGCAAGACATACTTTTAAAACAGGATATTCAGATCGAAACATTACATCACGAAAAACAGAACTACGAATTAAAAAAACGCAGGCAACTACCTTCTTGAGTGCAAACTCGATAAAATCGGCGCCCTTTGTGAAGTCATTGACGAACACTTTGAGAAGATGCGTAGGATCAAAATCGTCTGTAAGTGGAAAACTTCCTAAAATTTCCAATCGAGACAAAGTAGTAAACTTACTGTCACAGTTCTCAACGAGATTACGAAGAAGTTCCATAGTTTCTTCGGGACACGCCGCGAAGAGATCACGACCATATTTCTCAATATACCGACACGCCTGCAAAGTCAAATAGCGCTAAACAGAAGTTTAGCATGATGTGCAATGTTAAAGGCTATTATTAATAAGATAGTAAGAAAATAATTACCGTCAATGTTGCCACCAAACTTTTAAAGGTGAATAAAATAAAAAACAGCAATATTTATCAGTTATTTACACTTTTGCTGTGTACTGTTTTAAAGGTTATTTCTTTTTTGACTATTCAACCCGTGATACTTTCCTCTTGCACTTAATTTGCAACGATTTTAAGCCGGTCGAAATTGTTTTTAACCGTAAAAATCGCATCCTTCTGTTTCATAATTCGAACATAAAGCAACGCCAGCCACTCGAAACCTCATGGAATCCTGGACTATCACTTTTGAGCCCGAAAGTTATAATGGCTGTCAAGGCTTCCCAACGCAGATACGAGTGCCTTCTTTTATTGATGAATTAATAGGAAGTTGATAAAATAAACTTTCTTCAGCTAACGTTTCGACGTCTTCGTCTTCATCAGAGCTGATGATCCTAGTCGACGTCCACAGTTCTTCGTACTCATGATGTGGTGTCTTCGTCGTTGTGTCGAGTCGGGTCTTCTTCAGCGGAGCATCGTTCGAATAAGGCAATCATAACAGGCAATGATTTTTATACAGGACGGTTCCTTTTGATTATAGTGATTGTCCGGTTATAATAACTTGACCTTTCCGTACAATCCATCAGGAGAAGTTGGTATCATTATCAGGTAGCCCAAAGTGTAATAATACCTCACAAACTGACCTTGCTTTAACTTTGGTATGAATGATCAGTGTACCTTCTTTAATTGATAACTACCGCGAGGTTGATAAAATAAAAAGATACGAGTCTATAACGGATAAAGTCGTAGGCGCCTATCAGCAATTGGCGACGACTTTTTGAAGTCGATTTATGAAGCATTCTTTCCAAAAACTGCTTAATGCGTCATAGCTCATACGCCGTTTGTCAGAATGCTAGATTCCTAATTAATAGGCAATGAACAAGAGTGTGTTAATGCACAAGAAACTAGACCACGACCTTGGCCACTGTTGCCCACTTTGTTTGCGGCCTGCTGTTTATAAACTTTCGCTTGAGTTACCATCAAGATGACTGCCAGAATACCGGAAAGAGGACAGCCATGCCAGCAAGCAGGGTTCTGAAAAGGATTCCGTGGAACAGAGCATACGCACACGGTAATGAGATTCACTGAACTACCGCGAGAGGACAAGACATCGCTTTGTACCAGCTCTACCGACTTATAAAACCCGCGGCTCAGCTAGGGCAGAAGTGGTCATAGAAGCCAGTCCTTAACAGGAACAGAGGATCAGTACTCATTATGCTACGAGTTTTACCGAGTTCCATTTCCAATCAATTCAAACAATTCCATGACTAGAATATCATTGATATTGAACGCACAGTCGAAAGCGCGACGCTTGAGGTAAGTGGTGTCACGAAATAAGATCGGGAATGCAGTTTCGTCCTATAACAATGATGAAAGATCAGAGATGCCGTTGTGCATGTCCAAAAGTAGAAAATCGGGTGGGCCAGTGAAATGATACGTCTTAACAATAGCCGGTTGACAAAAGACGTTAGCGACTGGATCCGACGCGATATTAAGCGCACAATTAGAAAACCTTCAATCAGCTGGGCAAACTCCCCCGACTTATACAAAACACTATAATCCTCTTCAAGTCTATCGAACTTGAACAACACAATAAACAACGCTGGCAAACGCGATCAACAATCGAAGGAAGTACAACTAAGATAGTGCTGAGATATTGGCAAAACTCCGGACCGCAGGTGTCTGCAGTGGGGAATGAACGCGCTATTGTCTTTTCCGGGAGTAACGCGTTCACCACCACACCATGCGGGTCCTTCGTTTCGCCTGTTTCTCAGCTAGTTCTATTGATCTGCGCCATCAGCAATCACCCGTCAACGGGACTGATCTATCTCAGCATTATTTTAGTTATATTTCACATAATAATCTGATTATAGTTAAAAATTATAGTAGGCAGCAAATAAAAAAAGTTAAAATCAAAGGAAGAACAGGTGATATGGGTGGTCATTAACACATTGAATAAAGACAACTTTACAAGGTACTTAGGATGATTCTAACTCACTTCAACTGAGGGTCGTTTGGCAATGTATTTGATGGCCGTGTTATAGTGACCAAGGTCTTCCACCATCATCGACAAGACATGGTCATGCATGTTCAGTTTCACCGCAAGAAGACTCGCCTCTGCAGATATCTTTAGGGAACGGAGCACCTAAATAACGATCCCTATTACGAAACAAGGTATTAGTGTTGAAGACACAACTGCAACAGTACGGATGATAAGGACTAAGTGATTGTAGCGTTTGTTTTTTTAACTCGTTTCAAATGAAAATAAATACCTTTACATCAGAAGTTGCACGCCATGAATTGTAAAAAATCACAAAATCTTTAAGCAACAAGAGGGTAAGATTCTCAAGTATTAAACTCGTTAAAACATTTTGACCTCGTTGATGATGGAAACAACAGCAAAAACTGAATACTACTTGTCGCATATTGTCGTAATCCTATGAATGCCTCCCTCTACTTACCAAATAATAGGTAATAAAACTTCTCAAAAAACTTGACCGTTTCACAGTTTGAATTGTGCGCCTACCAAAATAAAGTGTAAGAACTAAAATGATTCTAACTAAAAACTTCGATGTCCAAATATCCAGATTCTTTAATGAAGCTGAGATATTGGCAAAACTCCGGACCGCAGGTGTCTGCGGCGGGGAACGAACGCGCTATTGTCTTTTCCCGGGAGTAACGCGTTCACCAGTACACCATACGGGGCCTTCGTTTCGTCTGTCTCTCAGCTAGTTCTATCGATCTTTTGCCGTCAGCAAAACTGCAAAACTGCGGTCCGGAGTTTTGCCAATATCTCAACTTCATTGAAGTTATATTTCGCAATATACCCTGCCATTAAAAAAGAGTAGGCAGTAAACAAAACGATTAAGATTATCCAGATTCTTTTGGTATACAATATATCTTCTTATATTTACTTTGGATGGGCACGTGTTACGCAGTGGTATGGACGCCCTGCAATGCACATAGTATCGATCCTTTTGCCCCAGGTTCACCAAGCCCTACATCCCTCCTGGATCGGCAAAATGGTACCACACTTGTTTGGGATGATAGTAACAATGGCTCGATGAATCGGTAAGGCACCAAGACTCATTGTGAGAAAGGCTAGATGTGCATTTAATCGCCTCCAATGATGTTTAATGAAGTCGAATGCATGGCAAATCGCTCAGGGATTGATCAACGCCGGTTGCTTTATCCTTTATTCTTTTTATTACGTTTACCTTGGATAGGAGGGGATATAATAGAGCATGCTCACATCAAACAGATTGGCCATGTTTGTCTTTCCGTCGGTGGACAAGCTTTCGAGGAATTTCATCATTTTCTTCCTCTCTTCGAGTTGGGCGTAGCAATTGAGTAGTATGGTGGTGTGATGCAAATTGTAGTGTGTGGTTTCGTGAAGAGATTCCAAGTAAACACAGAGTTGCCTCAAACGCGAACCATCCAAATACTGAATGCAAACAATACGTTAGGATAAGGAAACGAAGAAGTTAACCTTAATCAATTCACCCGCTTAATAACATATGACGGCTCCAGCATTCCAATAGTCTCCTTGTACTCGTTTATAGCATTGTCGAAATCACCTTTCCTAAATTTTTAAACGTATATGAAACTGTTAAGTATTAGGATTTTCAGTAAAAGCGAAGACGAACAAACCCGTAGAGATAGTCGCCATATTTGGCATGGATTGATTTTAGATGTTCATTTCCATCTTTACTGCTCTTCGCCAGACTGAAAAGTTAACAGTTTTCGATATTTCCACTTGAAGAAATGAATTCTACATACACGATATATATTATGCCAATAATATTGCGGGAAAGTTGACATACCTAAGGCATTAGGGCTCATGATGAAAAATGATTGGATGAAAGCACTTGATTGACAAGGTTCGAGATTGTGAAGGTTAGGCAACATGAAGTTCTAAAGCTCCCAACGTTGATCAATCCCTGAGTGATGCGCCATGCACTCAGCTTCATTAAACATCGTTGGAGGTGATTAAATGCTTATCTGGCCTTTACAATGATTCGCGAAGTCCTACCGATGTATCGAGCGAGTGCTGCCAGCCTCACAGACAAGTCTGATGGCAATTTGCCGACTCTAGAGGGATAGAAGGATTGCCGAGCCACGGGCGCTGGGATCTATCCCACGTGTGTATGTAGGGCACCTCCGACCATTGTGCCACACGAGCTGTTAATTGGTTGGAATTGCTATAGAATATTGTAGGAGTTACCAGTTGGCAGTTGATGATATTGTGCTTTCTTTTCCACGCAGAGGTTTCCACAGGTGAGATGATTAGATGGATTAAAAGCCTTTTGCGAGTCAACATATGGGTGTGCAACAAAGAACCGACACACAGATATTAAACGTTCCCTCTTCGGTATACTCCTGAGTGAGCCATTCGTATTTTACTCAAAGTCTCGAAAAAAAAAAGAATTACTAGGGCTTTCTTTCCAAACCATCAGCAGAAACTACCCTACAACTCTATGAATTCTCACGAGAGTGTTATTGAAGACCTCTGTTCTTAGTATCACCTGTAGTTCCGTTGATCGTCGAGTGACTCGAACGAGTGCCAGTAAATCTTCCATTTTTCCCTATCGCGTGCAAGAGTAGGCCAGTGGGTTCTGCTCGCTCTACTGACTCATCGAGCATTATATCTTTCTTCTAGGCTTTTTGTGAAAAACTCTGCCATCGGGTCGGTGGTCTTCCTGCAGTACGTTTAACATCCCGAGGAATCCAGTCACTAATCTTGTCCATCGGTTGTCATTCACACGCACTACGTCTCCTGCCCACCTTATCTTCGACTGTTTGGCGTACAGAACGGCATCTTCGATTTTTGATATTGACGCAGGTCGGAGCTTTGGATCACATCCCTTACTTGTGTGAAACGGGATACTCCTAGCAACGTCTTTTCGACTGCGCGTTCGACAACGTTTAGTGATCTTTCATCCTGCTTACGCAGCGACCAAGTTTCTGGCGCACACGTTAGGGCAGGAAGTATCAATGACTCGAAGAGCTGAGCGCGGAATCGGGTGCTCATTCTTCTCCTCACTACATCCTCGATGCTCTTAAAAGTTCCCCAAGCCACTCGTTTCCTTCTGCTCAACTCTGGAGATATGTCGTTCATAATATTGATTTCCCAACCTAGATAGACATAACTGGAGCATTAAGAGGTATTCGTTCCGTTGGGCGTGAATGGCGCATACGAAACCAATCCCTTCCTCATAAACATCGCTTTTGTGAGATTTAGTTGAAGACCAATCTTTCAATAGCCTTTATCAAAGTCGGCAAGCATACGTTCCGCTTGGCTAATGCTTGGTGTTATAAGGACGATGTTATCAGAAAGCGAAGATGGTGTAACCGCCGACCATCGATTTCCACTCCCATGTTATCCCATTCCAATAGTCGCATGACGTTCTGGAGGGTGGCCGTAAATAATTTTGGCGAGATGGTTTCGCTGTGCCTAACCCCTCTTTTGACGTCAATGTTAATATCGTTGTAGAATGGTGATATATCTTGGTTGTGAAATTTTTGTACAGCTCACGAGGATTCTTTATGTACTGAGTAGGGACTCCTTGACTATGAAGCGCTTCCATAACTGCTCCTATCTCCATTGAATCAAAGGTCATCTGTAAATCAATGAAAGTGAAACAGAGCGGTCTTTTCTACTCTCGCGATGCCCCAGTGAGTCTTGTTATTGTGTGGATGTGATCCATCGTACTAAATCCTTTTCGAAACCATGCTTGCTCACATGGCTGTCCTTCGTCCAGTGTTCTGTCAATCCTGTTTAGGATGACTCGAGTGGAAAGATTGTAGACGACAGACAGCAAGCAGATTGGGCAGTAGTCGCCGATATCGTGTAGGGTATCCTTCTTGAACAATAACACGGCCTTGCTGGTCTTCCACTGAGTAGGCACCTTGCATTCATACAGCTAACGTGTGAACAGCCGAGCCAATGTGTTTACGAGGACTGGCGGAAGGTTCTTCAGGTGTTCTGGTCCTTTCCTGTCCGGGCCTAGTGCTGCTCGATTTTTCACTGACGAAGTGGCATGTCGAATTTCGGAATGGAGAAGCGGTGGTACAACAAATCGATCCTCCTTTATTTCATATAACGGAAGGTGGAGGTGGCTATCGAAGAGATCTGAGTAGTCTTCGTAAATGATTTCCTCCATTGCCTTTCTGGACGCTCTAACTGTTCCGTCTGGGCGTCGGATTGCAATCATTTCGGTCTTGTAATTGGTGAAGCTTCGGTGGGCTTCGCAAATGCTTTTCCCAGCCTCTACAGGTTCGACTATTACTGCCCCTCTTCTCTCTTTAAGATCCTCTTTCATCGCCTGTCTGCATTATTTTGCAAGTTCGGACGTTAGCTCGCAGTTACCTGCAGCTCGTCCGATTCCACGATAACGTATCAGCTCGAGTGTTTCTGGAGACAGACGTTTCTTGATGACTTTCGTACTCTCAGCTTTCACAGCGCTAATGTGAAGATGTGGAATGAGCCGATAGTACTCTTTGTCGATGTTGTCGACAACAGCATATTTCCAACAACCAACTAATGAATTGAATACGTCCCAGTTTACGGTGGTTATGAGACTTCGGTTTTTGAATTTAGCGGCTTTTTCTCGTTTCCGCGAGAAATAGAATCTTGCACGAAAGAGACAGTGGTTTGATCCCATGTAAAATTTTGGGACAACAGCGACATCGGTTAGACAAAACCTTCTATTTACTATGATGAGGTCTGATCTATGGTACTTTCCATTGGGAGACTCCCACGTTCAGCAGGTTTCTGGAATTGCGAGTTACCATGGATGGTCTTGGTCGCCATAATAAAGTAAACTCAGCTGCACGTCCTTTTCGTTCAGTTCTAATCCGTGGATCACAATGTGACGTTCCTCAGACGTTCTTCTTGATCCAATCTTTGCGTTGAAATCTCCAATGAGGACCTTGTAGAATGTATGATGTTCTCTGTAGAACTTCTCCAAGTCCATATAGAACGCTTCGATTTCTTCTTCGTCATAGCTTGATGCCAGCGCGTAAACGACGAAGATTGTCAAAGCCGAAATTGATCCACGTCTTCTTAATCGTAAACGTCCGATTCCGGTTGTAAACTGATCGAATGAATCGATGTTCATGGACAAACTCGTGTTGACGAGAACGCCAACGCCGCCCACTCCTCTACCGTCGCGTGTTCCGAGGAACAATTCTTCTCCGGTGTCATAAATGGCGTTAAACCGGTGGCTTCGTCTCGCCTCGGCCAGGCCGATAACTGCTTATCTTATCCTTCTAGCTTGCATGAGCAAGTCTTCTGTCTAGGACTCGGATCCAAGTGTACGTGCATTGTAGGTTCAGATCGTCACCATAGTTCTTTGTATTCCAGGCAGCTTCCATTGGTCCTGAGATTTTAGCAGCCTCTCCGTACTCGCCCTAGCCAACGCTGCAATTGGGAGCTCTTTCGGGGTCAGGGGAATAAGGCCCGTTTTTTTTTACTGCGTCTATCATTTTGATACCCACGTATAGCTTGCTGGGCCCTGAACGTAGGGCTAGGTATACTCACGGGTAGTTTGCCAGGCTCTCCCAGAGCGGACACGGAGTTCATTTGTTGGAGGCGACTCCTAACCGCCTCCCATACACTTCCCTGTTACTTGATTGCAGGGTTTTGGCCGAATTGACTCGTAGGATACAATCCGCATAAGCGAGAACGCATCCACACACGCATGCATGAATACGCGTGGCAAATACAGAAAGTATGTGCCAAATCGGCGCAGCAGAAACAGGGAGTCCATCCTCTGGATCCACCTGCGTTTCAGGGAAGCAAAAGTCGCTTTTGGTCCGCGATCAATCCGCTATCCGCCACCTAGGGACGCGCCACGTAACATCGCGACTAACCGACTCGAGATCCTTCATATGAGGGAGATTCGTGGCTGTGCTGCTCTTAGTGGATTGACAAAATACTAGAAGTCCATGACCCATACTGAACAACCAAAAAGGAGTAGTACTGTTGTAGGACAACCTTTAGCAGATTGTTATGCTCCATAACCCTAAGATTTATCGCTGTGTAAACAAACTCATCACAAACGTTACATTTCCTATCCTCATTAATGAAGTATTCCATGACCTGAGATGAACACACTTAAAGTTGAAGAATAAGAAATCCGGCATTCACTCATTCTCCAATGGCAATGGCCTTCTTAAAGCAGTCTTAGTTGTTCAATCTTTAGACGATGGGGAAGATAGTTTGCGCATATCTGATCGTTGGCCAAAGAACAGCGATTAAACCAAACATTGCCATCGCCTTCAAATCTAAGGCGGAAACTCCAGTCCTCGACCACTAAGCATTACTCTGCTGTCTACACAGAGACGACTGCTTCACCGTCCGTTTCAAACAAGAACAGATGGACAAGTGCTTTGAACTGTTAAATAGACAATCAGAGCATACAAAATCTACGCGAGGAAAACCAAACGAGAACAAGCTTCCAGTCTTAAACATTAAAACGACGCTTTCAGAAAGTGGCTACGTAACAAATTGGTATCGAAAATCAAGCAGGAAAAATATACTGCACCAACTCTCCTATCGTCCTTGACACACGAAAAAAGACTCATCAAAAACATGTACCGGACGGGTAAAAATGTGCGCTCAGAAGAGCAAACGAAGGAATCGCTGAACTTTGTGCGAAAAACAACCGTTTCCAGTGGTTACGAAGCAGAAGCCACTCGGTTCAGATCAAAAGGTACGACTATTCCCCAAAATAATCTTCCTAACCGAAATAAGATCCCATTTAAGTTACTCTTCATATCAAATCGTGGTTAGCATATGGAACTGGACGATTTAAAAAATACCGTGTGAGCTCTATGTAGCTTCTAGAACCCACTACTAAATGCTAATATCAAATCAACATGGTTGGGAGATCGACGAGTTTTCGCAAGTGCGCAACGAAATGGGTCGCACATAACACACAGAGGTGAATCCTCTGCAGGTATGAGTCATATATGACACATCCTGAGTACTATGTGTTAAAAGTCAATTAGTGTAAATGACGAACACTTACATAACAGCCACATCGTAAAGATTCTTCTTAAAGAGTATGTCCAACTTAGCACAGAGATTCTTCTCTGTGAGCTCGGAAAGTGTCCCATCCTTACCAAGAATCATTAAAGACTGATCAACGGCAAACAATCTAAAGCATAAAATAATATGCCAACACACTGTTGCCCATCATCTGAGTTATAGATCGTTCGAAAAGATATACATCATAATACGATGATCAAGTAAGTTTAAATCTTTTCCTATCTATTGCTTGATCAAATCAAAAGTTCCAAACTTTATAAGGAATGTTCCAGAAATATTTGAAGCAAAGTACCTGCATAGTGAAGGCAAGGAGCAGGAAAATCCTATATACTGTCCTTTAACGTTGTAAACTGTGACCATTGACATAAATTTGGTCTCATCGCTCGACCTAAAATTGTATCCTCAAAAAAGGGTTCATTGTACGCGAAAGATGGCTCGGGAAGTTACCACCTAAATCGTTGTTATACAAGTCATTGCGAAGTAATCTGATTTATCCATTGCTTCTTACAACCTGTTTTTCTAATAAGATTTCTTCTACATCGTTCTTGTTCTGAACATGTTATTTCGATCAACAATTTTTTATCACCAAAAGTCTTCAAGGAAAAAGCTTTTTATTAGTAGAGTTCTTTCTGCGGCAAAACACTTTTGCCGCTGAGAACAGTGCGGAGTACAGAAAGTATGGCCAGAAGGCAGGCGCAGAAGCACTTGCATTTGAATAATGGGATCCAACACTTAACGACAGCTTTTCGTCATGATACTATGATAAATCACCGAGAGCACTTCCTCAGAGTGCCTCGGTGTTAAAAGAGTAATAGGATTTAATGCCGTTTTCCTTTCGAAGCATTTATCAAGTCCTGGTACCTCTATGTTTTACACTTCTTGTTCCCCTGATGAATCCCGTCCATTAGTGCTGCCCAGACCAATTCCGTTGACGGGTGAATACTGATGGCACTGGTAGACAGAAAACCAGCTGAGAGACAAGCGAAACGAAGGACCCGCATGGTGTGGTGGCGCATGCGTTATCCCCCGGAAAGGGTAATAGCGCGTTCGATCGCTACCGTGGACAACTGCGGCCCGGAGCTTTGCAAATATCTCAGCATCATTATGTTTATCTTTTGCATTTATTTTACAAACTACAAATTGCAGTTTACGACTTCACTACCAGCATTCAAAACATTTGCACCGAAGATTCTCAAGCAGCAGCCAAATCCACAAACAAAAGCCAAACACGATCAAAAGATCGTCTTAGCTCCACAACCAAAACTTCCGAAGGCATAAAGTATGCAAATCTTCGTCGATGAGGGATGCGAGAAAACAAATGCGTGCAAGAATTGCTGGGACTCACTCCGTGAATTTGAATATCTGTCATGTGAAATAAGAAACAAAACTCTTATTGTTGGATACTTACCTAGAAACTTCGAATTAAACAAAGTGGTTTAAAACTTGTCACTGCTCGAGTGGTAGTGTTCCAAACTTTATAAGTATATACATATTTCACTTACGGAATAAGTGCCTGTTGCTTTGTAAGTAAAACAAGGTGTTCGCCTACAGCAATCAGCTGAAGCTTTTCATGGCTTCTTCCCAATTGAAGGCAGCGTCCACGATAACCATCAGTTTCTGTGCACTGGTCGGCTTCATAGAAAAACACCATCTGCAATATATCCATTTATAACGCTGCAAATGAACACATGTCGTCAGAAAGCTCTCACATCTCTGCTAGCTATGACTATTGAACCTGTTCGTTCATCAAACGTCCAGCAATCCTTAGGCGCCCCTGGTGAATCATGTTTAAGCTGAAACAGAAAGAATGGAGAATAGTCTAAGAACACTCCTAACCGAAACAGAAGGCCTAGAACAATTCGCAGTAGTTATAAGAAACCGTTAGAACTGATTTCGGCACGCTTTTTTGCCAAGTAATCACTCAACGTCAAATATAAACTTTTTTTTAAATTTTATTATTCGTCATGATTTCTATGTAAAGCACCTATACGAGCTAAATCTGTGCCTTTATTCTTACTGATAAGCCAACACAGCGTTGACAACTAGTCATGCCGAAGTTAAAGGGAAGTTAATTTTTCAAACATAAGGCGAGACCTTTGAATCTACATTATCGACAGCAGCTGACCCATTAAATTTGATTACAGAGAATTTAAAGCTTTATTTTGTGGGAAATTTAACTTTAGTGGACAATCAAAGAGTACGAAACATACCGTATTGGTAACAACTTTGTTTTCAATAACATAGGAATGCACAGCTTTAGTGGTGACCACAAATGCTACTAATCGTTCCGCAGGCAACTTCGCAAGCGCTAGTCCTGTAACAGGACCATCCGAAGGCGAAGCTTCACGGAAGCGATACCATCGAGAAAAGAGTGCCTTAATAAGCCGTCATTGAAACAAATAAGTACAGTGCAAGAAGAACCGCCCAGTAAAACGGCACATTTCTAAAAGTTAAATACCTTGTCTTTAATAATGTCGCCTTGATAATGTAGTACAGTACCGTCAACGAACCCAACAGCTATTGAAGACAGGGATGAGTGAACGGTTACAGAACATGCGGCCACTGAACAATGGCCAGATGGATGAATTGATGACAGCCGAATCTAAACCTCTAGGATTTGAAACGAATACAAACAGTGTTTGGGGTGAAATATGGCACAACCAAAAATAGATATTAAAAGTAGCCCGAATTGAAACGTTCAACAAACAGAACTGACCTCCCGATGCAAAAGTGGAGCAGCCTTCTCTAAGTGGTCCCCTTGCCAAATTTTCAAGATCGAATTTGTTCCCTCTTCATCTTCCTAAACAAAATAATTTACTAATACATGAGGTTCTCACCACATACTTCCATGATTCAGCTGCACATACACGTGCTCTCTAAACAGTACAGAAAAGTTTACTCGCTCGCTCGCTCGCCCGCTCTAGAATCTTGCAAAGCACCAACGATACACTGAACAGCTACATTAATTAAACAATTAAATTAAATTGAATGTATTGCAAATACTTATTTTTTTATAGGACTCATCTTCACATCTACTGTGCGGATCCCGGCATTGCTCACATGCAATTTGTTCCCTCGCATCCATCAACCACGAAGATCTCCAAACTTTTATGTGTGGCTTTAGGATTTTCACTTCATCTCGAATGAGGTTAGATACTGGTCCAGTCGATTCTACCTGGAGTCCAGAGACAGCCAGGTACGAGCCATTCACAATTGGATTGCAGAGAACGATTCTTTGCCGAACAAATCCATTACCAACTTACTGACTCCGCAGGGGTGAAAGGCTCGGTGAATCCGGTGCGGGAACGAACCAGAACCGTGGTCGTGATAACGGACACCACTACCACTGTTCGATCCGCCATTCATCTCTTTGGAGTCCTGAGATAGCCGGGCTAGGGCGTTCCCACTTAGATTGCGCAGAGTGGACTTTTCCCCGAAATGTGTGGTACCAGTACCCCGACCCGAGAGGGATGAGAAACTTAGTGAACCCGAAGCGGTATCCAACCAACACCGTGCTCGTGATGACGCACTGTGCTATCCGCCCCTAATTCTAAAGTTTCAAAAAATCATCAAAAAGTGAAAATGATTTAATGGTAGACAACTGAAATTAAAATCTAGCAAGAACTCTGCGAAACGACTATTGGAAGCATAAACCTTGCAGTCAACACTATAGGTATGAAAAACGAAGCTTGTGAGCGAAAATAAACTCACTCCGATGGAGAATATGTACTTCTCTGCTGCATGCAGTGCAGTAAGAGCCGTCTGATAAGCCTTCCAATAATACTCATCTAATTCTCTGCACAGACGAAACACTCCACCTCTGGATTCACCTAGATATACTGCATCTCCTCCACTGCACCAGCAATCCACGCAAACGTCCTAAGAAGGAAACTCTTAACCTCAGACCAACGCTAACAAAGCTTGCTGGAAAAAGGTGCAAAACAATCCATGTGTACCTTAAGGCCTAAAAACTTCTCGCCTGGTTTCTCAGGGTCTTGAACCACATTTTTATCAAAAAAGTTGAAACGCCGCCAACCGAAATCGACAGACATCCACTTTAATTAAGCAAAATGACATAGATTGTTTCTCCACACTAAATGAACTAGAGTGTGTAGTTCAACTAGTTCAACATAAAAAGGGGTTAGAAAACCCAAGAGTGCGATCCAAAATACTTTTAATGAATTTAATCGCAGAAAAAGAAGACAACAACAACACGAAATCACTTCAAGATCACTGCACTGTAGGATTACAACAAGACATTTGTTTCTATGTTAGATGTTAATTTATGTCATACGTGAAACGGTGAGATTGATCCTGGAGCTCAATCCATATACACGTCCAAAAACCTAAAGAGCAACAAATAATTACGATAAACCGCTACCGTTGCTTTCTTTTTCTTTCGTTTGTGATTGTTAGCATAAAATAGCCCAAAGTAACGGAGAAGTAAGACATAGAAATAAGGTTCAACCACAATGATGCTCAGATATTTGCAAAACTAGGACACCAGCTATCCACCGCTGGTAATCGCCGGTTCGAAGCTGGTCTAGGGTACGCCTTTCTCAAACATCTCAGCATCATCGTTTTTATATTCCCCACAATACCTTACCATGAAAAAAAGCAATAAAAAAGATAAGCATTGGAAAATAAAACACTAAAAAGCTCGCAAAAGAAAGATAGATAAAGTGGCAAAACATCACTCTTCTTAGAGGAACTGAAATTTGGTTATGTCTCACAGAAAAAGAGAAAAATAAATTGCCTCAGGTACTCCAGAGAGCATTTTTCGGCAATCGTCATCGCTCCCAACGGATTTGTATGCTTGCGCTAGGCCATATTTCAGGTGACATATAGCCAAGTCATCTTCATCTTGGAATTGGCTTTGCACACGTAGAAGCTCGCTTCCAAACGTCAACATATCCATGGTTCTAAGAAACACAACCCTACTGTAACATACTGTACAACAAGTACTCTTTAAGGTAAAGAACAATTACCTCTTTTCAGCAATTGCGTTTTCGTACAAAATGCGTAAACTTGGAATGCGAAGGACATTGAATTCGTGAAGAGTTTCTTTGAAAACTGACACCAGCTACAAATGAAGAACGATTTCCTAGAAAGCAACTTGTTCAAAACAAATGACCACAAACCTTATTCGCAAGTAAAACTTTCGATTCAAGCTTGTAACTTCCACTTTCAAGAACTTTATTGCCGGCCAATGCAGATTCAACAGCAACCCGACATAACTCAAAATGATCCACATCTATGGTCCAGTTGCAGCTATAAAACATTAGTAAAAACGTCTCTCAACTCACAAACGTAGCCTCATAGTAAATCAAGATACTACAGCTTACTACTTGCCAATTGAAGAATGGAACTATGTGCGTTCAGAACTCTAAACGGATTAAACCTGGATACTCAATCGGATACTTGGACGACCCATCCCCACTCATAGCGTGGGCACCAGCATACTCTCCATTTTTCGGAGTTTTCCTGGCTTAGGCATCGTGTCTCCTTGTAACCCCGAAGTCATCCTAGGGAAAGCCTGCCTCAGGTCTTCATTACCATAGGTAGTCGTAGCCCTTGTGGATCAAAGGAAGATTTGCCACCATGCGACTTTAATACCAGGACGGTGGTGGGTCTTGTATTGATTTATTCTGAGCTGAGCTTCCTAATTTAGATGCCGGACTCCTTCCCAGCTTGGAAGACCTCGCCTGAGGAATAAATCCCTCCGCTCTACATCGCAATAACACCTCCTAACCACGATGAGGCGGTAAACCGTTGGGAGGCCGATTAAATCTAAGGTGAACTAATTTAGAACGCAACAAATGAATTTATTCATCAATACCTCCAGTTCAGCACCCCTGTATTCCCGGAATGAACTTTATGTATAAACTCAGGATACCTTGTACACTTAGCGTCTTCTCTCGGTGCTAACCAACCATCTTGGCAGTTAATGCAATACCACGCTTCCATGCGATCATTTCTCTCGTCGTCTAGACATCCTTCACACTCACAATCAAAATTATAATCCCTCTGAACTGTATAAACATACAACGAATGCAACGTTAAGAAACTCTCGAGTTACCTTAAGAATTTCTTGGCGCAAAGATTTCGGGAGTAGCTCATTTATGTATGAATGTCTGGCATCATTTAATGATATAGGAGCCCGTGAGCAGAGAGTCGGAACCATAACTGCTGTTGTCATACTGAAACATCACTGCTCGATTCATTTGTGAACGTAAGACTTACAAAACATTAAAGTGTAATAAAGTTATCCTGATATCCGAAAATACCGTTTCATTTAAACTGATTTTCAATGTGCCTGATTTGTAACGCCCTTCTCTCAATGACACGCTGAATGCTAGTTCAACATAATTTCGCCTAAAATCCAGCAATAGTCCTATCACAGCATACAAAAAACCACAGGTAGTCGCAAGTCTTTGTGGATTAGGACAAGGTCTGCCGTCTTGCGACTTATATTCCTCCACCACAACAGAACAGCGACTCTTGTGACAGCAATGTATTTCGCTAATAGTGGACCGACTGCGCGATAGAGATGTAACGAACCGAATCCTTAAGCGTACCTCCATCTAGAAACGTCCACATTCCAGCCATAAATTTTGCCAGGCAATTCTTTTTCAATGTCAACGATCAGCTCCATAAACAATCACGTCTTGTAAAGATTCGATACTCACTTGGTACTTGGTACTTGAATGACCCGTCCTCACTTGGTTGTGCGGGCCACAGCATAATCTCCACTTTTTGGAGATATGCTGGTTAAGCCATTGTGGTTCCCTGGAACCCCGAGAGCCTGGCCAAAATCTGACACCAGGTCTTCACCACTGCGAGCCGTTGCATCCTTTGTGGATCAAAAGGAGATTTGCCACCATGAGGCTTTGATACCAGTACGGTGGTGAGTACTGGTGCTTAGATGAACTTGAAACAGAAGCAAATAGCCCTCCATTCACGTGCGACCGTATTGTACCATACCAGAGCCTCTGCGATGGACATTATTCAAAATGTAAAGCAGTATTCTAGGTCTAGTTGCAGTTCGCAGCGCTTTCGAAACTGGTACCACCGTTAGTCATTGCTAAGGCCAGATATGCATTCAACCACCTCGAACGACGCTTAATGAAGTCGAATGCTTGGCGCATCCCTCAGGGACTGATCAACAAATTATACTTTTATTCTTTTATATATCTGCTACCTATAGACATGTCTCGTTGGAAAAATCAGTTCTTTAAGACATTAATGAGACACACAGACGTATATCTATTTCTTAGGGAAATATGATCAAGTGAACCATGGACTGCTAAGAGTGAACTACTGATCGATCCTTAAGAATTAAAGAGCAGCAAGGATTAGTTTCTATCAGAGTTTGTTAATTTATGATCTGCATGCTTATTTTCGAGATTGTTTTCACAGCGCGGAAGTAGCAAGCGTTCAAACAAAGTTACCGATAAGCGTATCTCACGTTTGGCCGACATGAATGATCGATAGCACTAAGTCGTATACAAAGCGATATTCCTATCGATACACTGTATTGATTCGTTAGGGAAAAGCTGTTCACACATACGACTTTGCAAAGCCTGAAATAGAGTCATACGAAATACCCATTCTTCAACTTCTACCTCCAATGGGACTTCTGAAATCGCAGGAATAAATTTACGAGTAACCTTTCAACGTGTGATCAAACAGTCCGTCGTAAAAAAACACCGCCTCCACGGAGTGATGTACCAGTTAAAAGAGAATAGTATACACGCATTAGTAATGAGATTTCTAAGAAAGCAGGCAAGCTTACGAGATAAGTTTCTGAGCAAGTACCTTTTGATGACATAATCCTTAACAACTTGTTTGTCAAAGAATACTTTGAAGTCTTCTAGAAATTGACATGCCTTTGAATCGAAAGTATCACCATGATATTGCAACGTTGAAAGCGAACGACGAACTGAAAAAAATATGATAAACAACGAACAAGCATCGAATTTCTAAAACTGTCCACTTCCGTTCATCCCAACGGTTTACCGCCATCGTGGTTAGGTGTTCCTGGGTGTCGGACTGAGACGTACAGCGGGGAGATTCATCTTCGCAGCAGGGTCTCCCAAGCTGAGGAGTCCGGAGTCGCCGTCAGGAAGCCCGCTAAGAGTAAGCCAATATCAGGATCTACCGTCGTCCTGGTATCAAACTATTCACATGGTGGTAGATCTTCCTCTGATCCACAGGGGCGGCAACTGCCTGTGGTGATGACGACGTGGGGCAGACTTTAGTCAGACCGACATCCGAACTTCGGGGAACCCCAATGGCTAAACCAGCAAAACTCCGATGAAATGGAAATGATGCTGAGGCACGCAAAACCAGTGAAGACGGGTCATCTAATTATCCAAGTAAGCACTCACTTCCGTTTACTTGAGTTTCTCCTATATCGCCTGCAGCCCATTTCTGCGCAAGCCGCATTACCAAGCGAATCTCATCGCTCGCGACGCCGTCACATTTCTGAAACTCACTACATTGATACGATGACTGTTAATAACACAGTGAATCTATGAATCCAAAAAGGTTTCAGATATAGTAGGCAACTACTGCGCATGATGATGCCGCTGTGTGGTTCAATTAGTACCTAATGAGTACTAAGACTAAATCCTTCAAAAGCAACCAAGTTAAAGAAAAATGAAGTATTGAATGAATGAAATGAATTGAAACGCTTACCTTGCAGGAAGCGCATTCAACCTTGTGCATGCGCCAATCCTTCTTCTGACAATCCGTCGAGCAATACACAAACATTCGACAGCCTGTACATTTCTTCAACTCCGATCCATCTTTGAGGCATCCGTGGCAATACGAAAGTAACTGGTATAGAAGAATACACCGTCACGTGTTCACAAAAGCCGATGAAAGGCACAGAAAATAAACCATACATAGTTCGGCGCCAGTGCAAAGCAAAACACTTCCTCTGCGAAATCTTCCTCGTAGTTCATCATTGCTCAATAAAACAGAAATTGAGCACCGATTTCAGTTAAACAAGTGACTAAGGGCTACATTTAGTTCAGAAGTAACAACTGTCACAGCTAAGCACCTAATTCAGAATCTTCAGAAACAATAAGAAAAATCGTCTAATGACGAAGGAATAACTCCTTCCAAATTACTAAAACATAACATCCGTTAGATTTTCTATGAGAAACTTCAGCATGGCAAGAACGCTCCATAACTTGGCACAATAACTGCGTATGAAAAAATTTATTCGTCAAAAAAACCCCTCAACATAAAATCAGCAAGGTCCTGGTTATCTAAAAAGGAGAGGAAAACGAAGCAATATTTACAACACAGCAACAACATCCAGTAAACTAGCGTCTTTTGTATAAACAAGGCTTTAGTTTTAAGCCAAGTGGTCTCTTATTCTCTACCCTCTCGATTTTTCTGAATTCCAGTATAACGAAATAATTGGTGATCATCTTCTGGAACAAACGGAGATTTCTATTGCATGTGAAAAAAGAACGGTGAAAACATAAGGAAGGATACCACACCTTTTCAGTTTGCTCAAAACCCATCTTAGACAATGCATTGCAAAACAATCTAACATTCAAGAACCGACTTGCGACTTCAGCAATTTTCAGGATTCCGCTAAAATCGAAAATCATAACAAAAGCCTCTGGGAAATCAGAAACATGGTCTCAACAAGGGATAATAAAGCACTACGAGCCTGTTTTTTTTTTCGTTAAAAGGTTGCATAATTACTTCAGTAAACGATAACCCCTTTGTAAATTAGAGATAATAACAACTCACCCATACTTAAGGACTCGTCGACCTTCTTTTATATAATCTATAAGGTTTGATCCCATAAGTGAAAGACAGAAGACAACAATATCAGCGAATGAAGCTTCCACTGGCAGGTGAGCCATGTCACATGCAACGACCAAAGGATTCATAGCCACAAGATCATAAGAATGGACCTGACAGAAAGCTGAAGAGCGCTGAAGAACATCGGGTACACGATATCGACATCAAACCTTATGTACATCACCAACACTGGCTGCAATCTTTGCATCTCCGCATCCCATGTCAAGCACCACGGAACCACTTGGCTTCTTCTTTAACCACTTTATAATTGTTTCAAGCGGATGATTTGGCCACTTTTGGACCTAAGAGCATTGCCGAATATGCAAAAGAATGCACATTCAATAAGGCTGAATGGCAGTCACATGATATCGGGATAAAATAACCTGTTGGGCAAATCCATTGTGGTAGCAGAAGAATGCCTCCGGATCCTTCTGGAAAAAACTGTATGCCTCGGCTCCTGTTGATGTATACAGTTGTTCACTCAAGAACCTTAAACAACGTACGTCTTAAAATGCAAGGCTTTTTTCTTGAGACATCTAAACCCACCTGAAACGACCAGCTGCCAATTTTTTTAATCCTGCCTGTAGTGGATCCTCCACCAACGACAGTTTTGCTACGGAGTCCATCTCATTTCCCACATGGTTTGCTTTTCGATTCTTCTTCCTCCTCTTCTTTTTCCTATCCTTCCCTCTGGATGACTCATAAGGAATTTGAGAGGTTCCCTGATCCATATACTATCAGTTGAAATAGATAAGGAAAAGAATAAAATTAGCACAAATGAAGCACACTTGTAAGTCTTCTCTTCTTTCTCGTTCCATCTTTTTTGCTTCCATACGAGCCTTCTTATGTACTTTATTGCGCCACGGACGTTTCTTAAGAATATTTGCAATAAAACACCGCTTAGACTGTTCAGCTAAAAAGCTTGGACGGTTCGAGTTTTTACCTTAACTCTTCAAGCAGTGAAAAATTATGCTAACCACTTTCAACGGTTTTGTTATAGCAGCCGATACTTCACCTCCTGCCACATTTTGCGAAGCTTGTTCACCGTGTACTTTCACCATCCAGCCACTTTACACAGAATATTAAACTAGATTCAACAATACTATAATTCAATGCCATTACATATGTTTTTACGAACTGTTCTTTTTTAAACCGATACGAGGTTGGTACGCATGTTCTTACCTTTCAATGGCCGACGTTTCGGCGACTTCGTAGCCTTCAAAGCTTTGCCATTGGACTCCATGTGTGCTGATCATGAGGGACGTGTTCATGAGGGATCATGGTCCAACAGCAAAGCTTTGAGTAGAGCGAAGCCGCCGAAACGCCAGCCACTGAAAGACAACAACAAGAACACCAACCTCGCGTCGGCTAAAAACGGTAGTTCGTAGAAACATATATAGAGAAATATCGATTATTATTCCGAAATTTATAGATAATCGATATTTTAAATATCATTAGTACTACGAAACAGCCAAACCAAATATCAAGCCATTAGATTTCGCTATTCTTCATTTTACTTTACCTCATTACATTGGAAAATCATTGAAAAAGAGCAACAATCAAAATCATAAGATGTAGACATATAATATGCAGGATAAACACAGACAGATGCAACTTCCTATCTTTGACTTTCATCACTGAAAACAAAAACAATGAACAAAAACATCAACAACTCCACCGAGTGGACAAAGAAAGCGCCAGTGCCGAAACATTTCATAACAAAACATAACAATGAAGAATTCAGAAGAAAAAAACATGTGCAATTCATCTCCGGTCTGTTTTACCTATTTTACGTTTTCCACTAAACAAATGTTTCGGCTTCAAGTCGTAAACATGACGATCCGCCTCTCCTTTTCTGGCTTCACGTTTAAGGTATTTCATTGCATTGGCACGCAACTTTGCTGCTTTTGCGCGTTTCTGAAAGAAAAATAAATCCAGCATACTAGAAGCAACGCTATGGTAAGCGTTTTGCATAAATCTACACGAGGTTTGCTACTTTTGCTACTCTACACGAGGTCTAAATGTACGTAAACTCACAGCTTTATCGGGAATTCCCAGCTCATCTCTTGGCGGTGGCCGTGATGCACTTAAACTGGGTGAGCGACCAACTCTCACTTTTTTGCCATGCTGTGGTTTCTGAGCTTGTGCTTGAAGATTTTTCATGCGCTTTGGTTGGATCTGGATAGTTAAATTAGTATTTAAATTAGGTAACACAAGCAAGGAACAATGACTACTGTTAACATGCTAGCTTACTTCAACACCGAGCTCTCCCATTCGTTCCTCCAAAGAACTCATCGATCTTTCGCGCTTACGTACATTCAACCGAGACACGTGTCTCCCCTAAAAGTCTTAAGATCCATGCGAAAAACTGGATAGTATTCTCTGGATAATTACGTAAAGGTTGGATAAAGTACAAATCAATAATTGAAAGCACCGCTTTCGCTTTGTTCATCTGATTTTCCAAAGTAATCAGTTTTTCCTTTTCACGAATTTGTTTAGCAAGTTCAAGTTTCTCTTTCGTTTCCTCATCATCGCTATCTAGGTCTGAATCGTATTCGCCCGCTTTCTCTCTAAGTTCTTCATCAGCGAGTAGATCTGCCAGTTTCTGCAACAAATGCAAACCTAAGAAGATAGACTGATTGCAATACAGTCAGAGTTAGACACTCACTTTCTGAATATCTGGATCGACAAAGTCGGCCAAATTATGGCCTTCCCAAATTTCTGGTATTACGTCGTACTTTTCCCCTGGATTCTTTAGGAGATAACGTTTCTTCAAGTCCAAAATGTAATCGTCTTCCAATTCAAGCTCTAGTTCACGCTCCAATTTTTGAATATCTAAAGAGACTATTGGCAAAAAAGGGATAGTACCTATTCCAACCCATGAACTTACTCCTGTCCCTCTCAATCGATTTTTCTTGCATTTGCACACGCTGTCTACGTTGTTGTACAGCGAGAGGAATATATGGCGCACGCACCTAAAAATTTCGAACTTGAGAAGAAAAACTATTTTTGAAGAACAACTGTTCACTTTTTCATCTCTTGGAGTTGGGTAGGCAACAAATATGCGGTTGAGAATAGCATCTTCAGCTGAAGCCTTTTTAGACTGTAATTTGGACTCCACACGTTGAGCCAACAACTCATCGCAAGCCTGAAATCATGAGGTTGAAAAAAAAACCATTAACATATATGGCCTGACACGTAAATTTCGCCGGCTCTAGCGCATTTCTTGTTAACTTCGGTTATTTGAAGAATTAAAGACTTGAAAATAAAAGCTTTGTTCCTTTACTATAAGAGTATACTCCAATTAATCCAAAATTATTCTAACATATTTAGAACTGCTTACCTACAATTTTGGAAAAATAGAAACAAAATACAGACTTTTAAAAACTTTAGCGAAAGCATAGTAACGCAACCACCAAGAGTACGTTGAAGAAAATCATTTAATCCTACCGGACAAGACTACTGATCTAGTTAACTTATGCTCTTAAACAAAAAACCGTCGAAATATTATCCATTAAGAATTCCAACAGCATCATTTCACTTTTTGTCAAGAGACAATATTTTAATCATAAAAACTTCACACTCTGAGCTTAGCTAAAAATGGCGGAATTGTTGCGACATGACATTTGGTCAATCGAATCTGCTGTTCGAAAGAGAAGCTTCGATAAATAAAAGAAAATGAAAAAATGTGCTTCACGGGTTCCAAAAATCAGAACTTCTTCTGGATTGTATAACAAAACTGTTTTGCTCGAAATCACAAACTATTTTTATTTCAAATAATGAAGTCCATTGTGAGCTAAGATAAGCACGTCCCAAGTTGGAAGATCGTGCTGTTTTCCACCACGAATAAATTCAAGTCGAAAAAAAGGAAGAGAAAAAATTCGAATTGATACAAACTGACTATATGTGTTAGAACTACCTTAGAACTACTTGAAACAACAATCTTGAAAGACGTTCCTGCTCTAAACCATTTTGCATGGAACCTGCTTGTCACCATAAAATGAACTGAGCACATAGCAAATTACCTTGTCTCGAAGACCTATAACTCCTTCCTTAGTAATCGTCGAAGTCTCTATAATTGGTACTCCTTCAGCTTCCAATTTCTCCAAAAGCACAGCTTCCTCTGATGACATTTCCGAGCGTCGTTTTATGTCGACCTTCAACAACGAAATATATAAAACGCGTAGGAAACGAAATCAAAGATACCCTTCCATATACTTATTGGTGTAACCTGCGCGCTCAAAAAAAAACTTGCTGCCATAGCCATAGGTGAGCGAATGCCACTTTCTACAACATGCCTCGGAAACGTGACAAAAAAGATTCCACGGATAAAGAGTCGTCAGAAAGCATGATACACCCCGAAGCAGACCACAAATTGAAAATGGCTTTTCGACACAATCATCGAATGCCTTCAACTAGTGGCGCATAACACCACCTTCTCGATATAAAGGCTTGATTCAGTCACAAATACAGCCAGAAAAGAACATCTGTTATTTTCCAACAAGGAGATACATTGTGCATGACAAGAACGTTGAGGACGGAATTTGTCCCTAACACAACTAGTCGATAGAAACACGATGGAGGACTCCAATCCGTTCGTAAAAATACAATACCGACGAATATGCTCTAGTTCATCATTTAGACAGGCGGTCCATATCTTCATCATCGCGAAGCATCTGGTCTAGGAAAGAAGAACGTGGTTAGATCCTACACCAACACACGCTAAATCGCTTATAATTAATGGTAGTTACAAGAACAACTAGAAAACACGGTTTTGATACTGTTAAAAGGTGAGATTGGTAAGCGAGGCATTCCACTTTTTTCGTCCCACAGTATCTGCGTCGGACTTAAAAACTTACATAAATACTGACCGCGGATTTTCGCCCCAAAGACCTGATTGGCAGTTAGGCAGAGAGACAGAGAGCAGGTGCCCAGATGACAAACACTGTATACACTCTTAACCTTTTTATTTACTGCCTATTCCTTTTAACGGCAGGGAATTTTGCGAAATATGACTATTACAATGCTGAGATATTTGCTGATGGCAAAAGATCGATAGAACCAACTGAGACAGGCGAAACGAAGGACCTGCATGGTGTGGTGTTGAACGCGTTGCACCCCGGAAAGGACAATAGCGCGTTCGTTCCCCACCGCATACACCTGCGGTCCGGAGTTTTGCAAATATCTCAGCATTGTAACTGTATACACTTTCATGTTATTATACCCAATAAAACGACTGGATACAAACAGAAGGCATTATGCACGACCGAATGGGCTAAAAGTGACCTGAAGGGTGTTCTCAACTACCGCCATATCTGGCTGTTGATGCTACACTACCTCTTCACGACGAATACCCTATCACGTATACCATGGAACGAAGATGACATATGCATTGGTTGAAAACCTCCATTAAACCTTGCTTTGTAGCCGATGTGGTATTATTGCTCAGCAAAAGTGGAGCAGTCATGATACACAAAGAGCTCGTAGAGGGACGAAAAATGAAAGAATTTCGAAACAACTTAAGCAAAACTCAGTTCATCGAAAGGGCTATCGAACGCCGAACACGAGCCTCAATTCAGTCATTTAATTCAACAGTTCATTGAGCTCTCTGCTATGTGCAAATGCTAAGTACGATTGTCGGCGATAAACGGAATCTCCAAGAATGTTCTGCGAGGAAAAAGAAGCTAAGTGTCGAAGCGAGCGCTACTCTGCTAGCGTTCATTAAAAAAAACCCTCGATCCATCTAACATGTGAATGCTACTTTTCCCGTTACAACTTATTGGAAATACTAGTAAACTCTCAAATTGCTGCTTCCATAAATGTGTTTCTACGAGATATTGACTCAGTTTAAACTAATTTAAACGATAACAGAACCGGTCCACAACAGTAACAAGGTCGAGGTCAAAAGAGCTTTGATTACAGCTAACATAACAATTGTCTCATCAAACATTTCGGTGACTGCCGTATTACCTGTAAAAAGACAAATAAATTCTGACGTAAATATAATCACCACTGAAAACATTGGGATGAACCATAATGTTAGGATCTTTAACAAACACAAAATCACTTTCCGATGATATCTTTGAAAAATAAACGCGCCATTCATCGGATAAACTGGAATAGACATGAGTGGAAACCCAACCAGTGGCGATCAGCTGTACAATATGGATGCAATTATTACCCGCGATAACCTCCTGCCTTTCAGCTACAGAAGAAAATGCAGATATCAAGATTTAGAAAGAAATGTACATTTGTATGTACATATAAAGAATACACAAAAGAATATATCCGTACATACCTTATTCAAGCCTATTAACACCGGTTTGTTCGCAAACAGTGGACGGATCGACTCAAAAAGGTTTACCTGTAACGGATTGTTCGAACAGCAAAAGGGTTTCAAAGAGCAAATAAAAACATTAATTTCTACACAAAACTAACAATCTTAACGCATTCGTAACAACGCGAGTTGGTTTAAACTCACAAGAGGTGTGGACCTGATTAAATCCAATGAACTGATGCCTCGTTTGTGACCGCAAGCAACTGTCATTTCAAGAATTAATGCACAGAGCTCGCCACAGTGGATTTCCACTCACACGAGGTGTCACAATGACTCCTCTGAGTAGTAACCAATTCAAAATGTATGCCAAGAAACAGTAGTGATTCAAACCCCATGCTATAATGCCATGAATCCCAAAGTTCTCAAGTAATGCAATAATCAGAAGTACCCATGGGACCCGAAGAAAACTAAACAAGGCGTAACGCGATCCCCACGTAACATTAAATGTCGCCCACGAATGCGTTAAGAATCGTAAATACAGGAAAAAGTAACTTGACATAAATGAGTACATTCCAGAATATCGAAACTTAAGAACCTGTTCTAAAATGGTCTTATCACACTGCTCAGACACATCCATTATGAAAATTACAGCGGCCTTAAGGTGCGCCAACGCGGTGATAGCCTGCATCTCAATTGTGTTTCTCTCCTCAAGTGGATGGTCTAATATGCCAGGAGTATCAATAACCTAAAAGTGGTAAACGCAGATGTTCAAGAAAAGCAAAAGGAGCCTTCCACGAGTATTCACAACGAACCTGCCAGCGCAAAAACTTGTAATCTAAATGTCCAACGTACAAAGCCTTTGTTGTGAATGCATATGGCTGCACCTCCACATCTGCTCGTGTGACGCTGTTAATAAAAGACGACTTTCCAACATTTGGAAAACCACAGAGAATGAGAGTCCTGAATAATCTCTTAAATTAAACCAGCAGTACTTTACAAAAAACTCGCCCAACCTTGTGACCGGGTCAATGCTGGGTAGACGAGAAAGGTGTTGTCGAACCTGTTCAAGGTACTCAAAGCTGGATTTTTGTCGTTTTAACAACTTTACCATTCTGCCTAATGCTGCCCTTTTCAGCATTTTACACCGATAAAGCGAATCGCCATATTTCATCAAGCGAACATACTCACGAGCAATTCTGAATTGAATTGAGAAAAGAAGAGTCAGTACTTGCCACACTCGAAGTTAAAAGCAAAAATACTTACCCATCTACTAAGTGCCTAGCCGTATTCATTTGACCAAGTGCAATTTTGTAATGATCTTTATCATACAGAATATTCATAAGATCAGAGTAGAACGGATGCACTTCCTAAAATGAATAGGAGTAAAAAATAGACTAGAGCGCCATTTTAAGAAAAGAAAACCTCTACAACTAAAGCATATTTAGAACATTTTTAACACTTGCTTGGTGAGTACTGCCTACTCGCGTGCAGTGCCCGCCAATTTTTCGGTACCTGTGGTGGTAAAAGGATAAAGGATAACGCTCTCAGCGTTGATCAATCCCTGACGGAGGCGTCATGCATTCAACTTCATTAAGCATCTTTTGGAGGTGACTGAGTGCATATCTGGCCTTTAAAATGACTCGCGGTGGCCTACCAATGTATAGAGAGTGCTGCCATCCTTCCAGACAAGTCTGGTACCAATTTGTCGACCTCGGAGGGAAGAAAGCTTGGTAGGCCAGAGGCACGGGAATCAACCCCATGTCTACTGCAGGGCGCTTCCTACCGCTGCGCCACACGCGTCTTGCCCGTGGTAGTAATACTTTTGCTTCTAATTATCTCCTTAGGCCTTATGGAAACTTAGACCGTTGCATAGTTCAGTAAAATGTAAATAAGATTCTTCTCGATGTTAGGTTAGTATTCCTCATGAATGCACTGATAAAAACGGTGGGAACAATAGGTACAGTATAGGCAAAGGACATGATGTAATAAGGGTTATTGCAAGAATTTAGAAAAAAAGGCAAAAGGAAGTTGCTTGATTTAACAATGCCTTTCGGAATGCAACAGCATTACTGAACTATTCACCTAACGCAAACCTTATTGTAGTCCAAGCTCAGTAATCAAAACAGGATTAGCTACGCACAGCCAATCAATCAACACATAAGGATTGAATTAGAAGCTAATGCGTCCAAATATCAGCTTCCAGAAAGGGAGGTAACAAATCGCGGTATAAACAGGGATACGTAACCATAACAGGAGAAAAGAACGAAAAACCACCTCCAATTTCGGGAACTCATTTATAATTTGCGTTAATTTATCATGAAGAGTTTGCTGAAGAAACTTGATTTTTCGAGCATAGAAAGCACGTATTCGCCCAATTGCAAACTGTCTATGGATGACCGTTGGAGTCTTACGCTGTGTTTTACTTAGGACGACATCCTTAAGCTCCTGAAATATATGACGGTAAAATTGGGAAAACACCAACACTAATTAATGACAATGACAGAACCGTAAAAACCGCAAGCGGTACCAATTGTGAAATGCGAATGTAGGTGAAACTGCTGAATGTTCAGAACAAAGAAGACTAGAACCTCAACAAGATTCCCCGACAGAAAGTTCAAATCTAATATATCCCTGGACTATCCACCCTAGGCATAAAATCCGATACTGCCAAAGATGTCATTCTAAACAATTATTGCATACGTACTGAGGCTGTCGGCACGACCGTTATTCGTTTGAAATTGTACTGCATCGTCTCCACCAAAGAACTCCGGCGTCTAAAATATTCAACGATGAGACGGATGAATATGGAACGACACACGGAAATGGGAAAAACGAGTGGACGAGTCAATCATATTCTGCAATTGAGGCATTGGTACTACTGAAAATGTACTGCACAGCAAGAATATGCTCCAGAATTCTTCCAACAATCTACGAGCTACAAAGATCTACAGTTTTTCTTCAATAGGCACGAGGTTGGTATTATAGAATTTATTAGCACACAATAGCTGACGCTTCGGCTGCTTCGCCTTCATCAGAGTCTCACACCTGGGTAGTTCGACCTTTGGAAATTTAGGACAGTTGTGATTACGTGGGACGAAGAAGAATCCTGTGCACCTCCTGGGTGGCCGATGGCGGTGGGCTGGCGAGCATGGGGTCAAGTAATATCGAGTGGAGCGCGTTTCTGCCCTGCACATCACCACTTCTCACACTTGCGACTGAAGGAAACGAGTACGTCACGCGTGGCTGAGTACTCTGGACAATATGAGCTGATTTCGATACGTTTTCCCCTCAACTGCTTATTCTACAGCGCAACTTTCTCTGTAGGCTTCTTTTTTACTAAGTCTATAGGCTTAGTTATAATCACAATCTTAACTCTTTTATTTACTGCCTTTTTCTTCTTAATGGCAGGTTATGTTGCGAAATATAACTCGTATGAAATGCTGAGATATTTGCAAAACCCCGGACCACAGGTAGAAGAAGCAGAAGCTGAGATAAAAGAAACAGAAGGAAGAAACAGAAGTAGCTGAGATACACGCAAAGCGAAGGACCCGGATGGTGTAGTGGTGAAGTGCGCTGCTCCGCGGTAAGGACAACAGCGCGTGTTCGTTCTCCATTGCATACACCTGTGGTCCGGAGTTTTGCAAATATCTCAGCATTTCATATAAGTCTATAGGTTTCCAGCGGGAAATATGTTTGGCATTTTAGGAAGATACCTAATTCCTGTGCAACGCCATACACGAAAAGTGGCGATTTCCTGTTAATGATTCTGGCACATCGTACACAGATCGATCGTTGCAGTGAATGTGCTGAATGGAATGGCAATGTTTGAGTCGTTGGAGATTGTGAATAAAACTGAGAACGCCGTTTGTGGAGGATCGACCTGCTGTCGCTGACATTTAGTAACGTGGTCTTCCGTTTGTGGAACGATATGTCTCCTCTGGTTTCCACTGCGGTCGGCTGGCATTCTTGCACTAGTCGTGATGGGAATGAGCGAAATCCCCGAAAAGAAAAGCCTTGTCGATTCAAGGATTCGAGTACCACATGTTTGAAACTTCCTGGAAGTTTTCATTATGTGCTATGGATATCATGAAAACGGATCGTCCAAGTATCCAAGTAAGTAAATAAACTATGGATATTCTGTTTTCGTCCACAAACATTGAAGTCTGAAGCAGCTGGAGAATTGTTCTCTCTTCGGAGGGTTCATGTACAGCCTCAGGCTGTAAAATTACAAGAATGAGCGACTCGTTGTGCATGGTACTCAAAGCAGTTGCATCACGCTTGAGCTAGTTTTCTTCCGAAATTCTAAAAAATTGAGCATTTCAGGATTCCTAAAGTCCTGGTAGAAGGGAGAATTGATAGTGAAAAATAAGACTTACCAGACCATTAGCATTTGGTAACATAGGTGTTTTGTCATAGTTAATCTACAAAATGTAGATCATCTCCTCCACAGCTTGGAGAACTGTACGAAGCTCCCGATTCGCTGAGAAGAGTTCCTCATTTGTCGATTGACCGCTCATCTGACTCGCAATTGATTGTCTCTTCAATTCTAGCCGTGATAATAAGTCATACTTATGGAGTGGATAGGTATAAAAATACAGAAACAGACATAGACACGTGATGCGATATCTTCCAAATTCTGACATAAATGTGTTTGTATGACAGACCATAGTAGCACGTGTAGCGCAGTGGTCGGAGGCGTCGCAGTACACATGGGACCAATCCCCGCGCCCCAGGCCCACCAACCCCACCATCTCTCCAGGATCGGCATATTGGTATGACTTGTCTGGGGGAGGATAACAGCACAGGCTCGATACATCGGCAGGCCACTGTAAAGGCAAGATACGCGAACAGTTACATCCAACGACGCTTAGTGAAGTCGAACGTATGACGCGTCCTTCAGGGATTGATCAACGCCGACAGCTTCATCCTTTTATTCCTATCCATATCCACCAGGCAATAAAGCAAACAGTCCTCCATAATTCTGCCATGTTCACAACTCCTCTACTTCTACAATTACTGGAAAATTACCATCGACTGTCCAACGAGAAGCAACTCTGTGGCAGGCAAATACTGGACAGGATCTATGGCACCGGTAATGGGAAATTAGGCGTCGTCGCGGGTTTGTTGAGAAGTATGGTCCGCACCATTGGCAACAGCACAGACCGCTTTTTGTACCACGACAGTGGCTTATGTATGGATTTAACCTAGTGTGGTAACAGTAAGTCGCCATTCCGTTTGATATGTTATCTTTTGGACATGCGGTTTTTTGACGGACAACCATAGTTTCAGGAGTTGGATATGTTTGTGTCACTGACGAATCTTGTTGCTGAAGCCGGATACGATGTTCCGTCTGATATGAAGGTCTAGCTGTACCTTGTTCATGCTTCTCTTCTCCTTGTGTGGTCTAGTTGCGAAATCGTCCACTTCAGCTTAGCGATCTTCTGGCGCTTTGTTCCAGTGAACTTTTCGGTGCTGAAATACCACCGAGTAGAATGGCTGTTCTTAAAGATGGCAAACCTTTGACAGATTCTTCGCTAACTCTTCAGGTACGCCATTATTTTGTTTTCTAAAACTTTTCTTTCAATATTTCTCGTTCAAAACTAGTTTAGTTGAATGTTATATTCTATTCTATCGTTGGATCTTCTAAAAGGCCATGTTTTTTGGTTCTCGCAACCCATTGCTGGTAATGCCATGAACTGGAAGTGTTAAGGGGAATCGGACAGTTTGAATTGCAAAGCACACATTTTTGTCATTTTCGTGCCGTTATGAGGTTCTGTTTCGAATACCAACTAGGCTAACGTTGTACTTACTTGCATACTTGGATGGCCCATCGTTTTTGGTTGTGCGGGCCACAGCCTAATCACTATTTCTTCGGAGTTTTGCTGGTTTAATTGTGGTTCCCTGGAGTTCCGAAGTCAGTCAGGCCAAAGTCAGCCCCAGGTCGTCATCACCATGGGCACTCGCCGCCTTCGTCGACCAGTGGGAGATTTGCCACCAAACGATTAGTTTGATACCAGGACGGTGGTGGGCCCTGGTATTGGATTACTCTTATTTGGGCTTCCTGACAGAAATGCCGGACTCCCCAGTTTGGGAGACCTGAATCTGTTGGGGAGAGGGGGATGGATCTTACCGCTGAACATCGCAGCCCGACACCTAGGAACACCTATCCACGGTGAGACGGTAAACCGTTTGGAGGAGTGTTCTACTATGTAGCTAAAAAAAGTTTGGACGTATTTCACAAATATTTTGTATCCTTGCCACCATTGAAAGGTTTCTGGCTTACGTATAGAGTAGCCAAATAGAACAGTCGGATGATACTGCCGAAATGGAAATTAAGTTTGAGTGGAACACATTAGTGGATTCAAGAATGCCAAGTGTGGATCTAATGGTGCTGACATCGAAGTGTTATCGTATATAGCGTAGTTGAAGTTGTCTAGTCGAAAAATTATAAGAAAAGAATAGAATCAGGCCATATCTCCAAACTTTGGTTTTGTTTACCTTGTTAGTTGTGTTTAACATGGTGTCTAGGAATAATCCAAAAGTAAGGTCTTGGTAAACTCATGCAGTGTTCCCGCCAGTTATCCATCTGTTATGATTTTTAAGTGAAATCTTTTCTAACAGTATTTGTTAGTTTGTCTTGTACAGCACACCCTCCTGCAACATTGGCTAATGAAAGTAGTCTATGAGATACTATCGGATTGTTTGACTTTTCAACACCAAGATGAGATATACAACAGAGAAGACCACCTGACCAAAGCAAATGACAAATTTTCCTTCCATTCCGTAACAGAACCCAAAATTGGTAGAGAACAGTTACTGCAGATTTTGAGCGTAGTCAGAGTTACTACAACAAGATCACTAAAGGAGGCAAGGTTTCAAATGTACGGCAGCCAACTTCTTTTAAGCTGGAAGCCACTAACTTTTCACAACTCATGACATATTCTCAAGTTTAAATGACACTAAACACATGGTGAACCTCTTGCACGAGTATCATGTGTATGAAAGGTTGCCGAGGATATTTTTTGAAGTAGCCCTCCATAGGAAGGGGGTTCAACGAGCCGACCCTCTCTCACCTTAGCTGCTCACCACCGCATTGAAGTGGGTCTCACGAAGGAATCTGTTATGGACGGCTGTAATCTATTGTGATAGAAACTCGTTGGAGGTGCCCTGCAATACACACGAGGTCGATTCTCACGCCCATGGCCCACCAAGCCTTCTATCCCTCCAGGGTGGGCAAATTGTTACCAGACTTGTCTGGCAGGATAGCAATACTGGCTCGATACATCAGTACGCCACCGCGTCATTGTAAAGGCCTGGTATGTATTCAATCATCTTCAAACGATGCTTAATGTAGTCGAATGCAAATCGCATCTCTAAGGGATTGATCAATGGTGAGAGCTTTATCCTTTATTCTTTATCGCCGCCTACTGGAGTAATGTTGAAAGAATGCTGTTCAGTTACATAAGATTGTGCACTTTGATTCTCCCATTATAATGCTACTCCTGCTCACCTTACTATAACCGCTTTACTTGGAGGTATTCACTGCATTAACTTCTCACCTAACATTTAAATGCGTGCTTTAGGCTCATGGAATTCAAACTGGTGACGTTCTTCTAGTCAGAGCATTAAATACTGGTCCAAAACTATCAGAGGTATTCTTCATTCTCTTTATTCATCAATGTAGCGTAATTATTTACGGCGTTTTAGACTTCCGGTGTATCTCAGCCTCACCTTACTGCTCATTCTTCGGTTCGTCCTTTTTTTGCGGGAAAGTTGATGCTACACCAATGGATTTATTTTTAGGCTGCTGTTCCAAATGATTCAAGGTTGACTGAACTGATAAAGTCAATTAAGGTCTACCAATATGCCGTTTTTGCTCATTTCTTTGTTATGTTTTCCGCTTTCTTCTTATGATTCAGTAATTTAGGTTCCTCGAAATCCGAAGGCGAATTCCCTCAGAGAGAACGCACGAAAATTCTTTCAATCTGTTAGTTTTCCCTCACGGTTTCATGTTAGAGTTTTCCGTGTTCCTACTATCCTTTGATTTATTCCGTGAAAGTACCATGATTTGTTTTAGCAGTTATAACAAAGTTTAGATGAAAATCCCTGCTCAAAGAGCTCACATGTATTTCATAGCAAAACCTCTCGTGGACCAGTACACCAAGGATCCGAAGAATTTTGGTAGTTTTTTTTGTCCCTTTTTTACCACGTACATTTTAACCGATTCTGGTTTTTTAGGTTTGTATTTAATCTTTTTCATGGTTTACAGAGGCGTTCTTCTCCGTGTACAAACAGATGATCCAAGAAGAAATGGATAAAGCGCGTATGATGGCTGATCCTGAAAGTGTGGAAGGTCAACGCTTAATTCAGGAACAGATACAGCTTGAAAATATTAACTACTCGTATGCCCAGGTATCGTTAACAGTTTACCGTTCCTACGTAGTTTTTTTCGTGCTCCAGAACATGCTAAGCGCAAAGTTATCCTGTTCGTTGAAATATGTGTTAGAAGTCGTGTTCATTAGTGCACTCCATTGATTTATTTCCTGTTACCACTAGTTATGATTTGTTTTCATTTAGGCGCTCGAATATACTCCTGAGGCTTATATACCAGTCTATATGCTCTACATCAAAATGGAAATCAATGGCCATCCTGTTAAAGCTTTCGTTGACTCTGGTGATTCGATACTTCATTTCTTTCCTACGAAGATGTGGTCTTTCCACCATTTGGTTCTAGAAATCAATTTCTGTGGTCAGGGGTCCATCAAAAACTGAGAGGAAGTGTCAAGTTTGTGCTGAACAGAATTAAGTTGGTCAATGTTAAACACTGGGTATGAAAAGGTTATTGATGCGATGCAATATAGTCATCGTCCCCGGTTTGTCTTCAAACTGGGTCAACCAAGTCTCCCATTTTTCCGAGGTCGGTAAATTAGTGTTAAATTCCCCTTGAAGAAGCTTCTTGCAATTCATGAAGACTGGCGACCTCTTGTGAATATTTTGGAGCTCTGTATTAAAACTGTGGAAAGTTGATTCGAACAGCATTCAATAATAGCCGTCGAGAATCCGAACCCACACTCGAGACCGCTATGGATGATGGATGGGAGGCAACGAACTGAATACACGGAAGGCCGACATTCACATAGTGTTTGAAATTGGGTCATGGGGATAAGGGGATAAATAAATAATAGACACAGTTATTAGAAATATGAAAGAGAAAGAGGGCGTCACATTTTTTTAGAAATGTGTTCTGTAAGTTGCTGTTTCGCTTTGATAACGACTTCAGCTGCTATATTCTTAACTACTGGGCATGTATAAACTCATTTATAGGTGCCCAGGTCTCCATTATGTCAGAAGCTTGTGCGCGGAGATGTCAACTCTCTCATCTAATCGATAAGCGATTCACAGGAACGGCGAAAGGAGTTGGAGGAATACAGAAATTCGTTGGAAAAATTCATTCATGTATGTTTTCATGGAATTCATGACTAGCAGCCGCTACCACAAAGTTGTAAATTGTACGTGCTGATGTTAAGTACATTGACTGCATAACTTTTACATCTATCGAAAGAATGTTTTCCTAAAGTTCATCATTGGAACGTCTTTCCTCTTGGCATCAGTGCATTTTACCACTAAGCACAAACTGCGAATTAACAGCATGTGATAAGATAATTTGTCGCGTGTTCCATTGTTGGACTTTTCTCTTTGAGTGGCTCTCTTCCACTATGTGAACTTCAGCGTACTTACATTTCATTCGATCCTCTTGGGATGTGCTTTTATGCTAGTGGTCGGCTTACTATGCCTTTATGCTCACTGGGACAGTGTGTTTCAATGAAAGTATGGGTATGACTCATGAGTGCGATCGCAGTCGACGAAATGCATTGTTGTACATTACGAGTTATTCTGCTCCAGGATCCCTCTCAAATTTCATTCCAAATTCGTTGTGTTTTCTTCACGTATCTCCAGACTTTATTGTTCTTGCCATAAGAGCTGGTTTTGTTTTCTTTAGTCGAGGATCCCACTACAGTGTTTGCTGCATCAGAATGCTGTTAAGTACTTCGCGTCCATAGTTTTTCGATAAGACAGGTCTTCCCACGAAGTAGTAAACTTTCGTCCAATCATTGTTCTTGCGAACGATTCTTAGGGCAAACGAACATAGTCGATAAAGTGTTGATGAGAGTGAAGTTCTGAGTGTTGAACTGTAGTGTGCAACGGACACCTATTTCCCCTGCAAGGTCACTCAAGCGAAAAAGTTCGACCTTCCTACTCCCCATCTAGGTTGAAGCAAAGCTTTGCACAGTAGCAGAGGGAGAGCTGCTCATAGCATCCTTTCCTAAAAAACAGTAAGTATGAAGTATCTCACACAAGAGGCGTCGTGCTCTTTGTGTACTTCGGACAAACTACACCCTGTTCAGGTCTGGTGCACAACAGGTGCGAATTTAAATTTAATGCTTTATGCTCGAAGTGTTCTTTGATTATGAGGGGCTACAGATAGTACAGGTGATATAATATTTAGGTCAAGTGAAAGTGGAGGACCATTATTTTCCTTGCAATTTCGATGTTATGGCTGACCGGGAAATGGATCTTCTTCTAGGCCTTAATATTCTCAAACGGCACCAATGCAACATCAATCTCAAAGCGAATGTGTAAGGCTTATTTCTACAAAATATGTCTAGCAAATATTGAATGTAAATGCAATTTCGTTGTTCCGTATTACTTTTGACAATTTTAGATTAGAGATGGGTGATGGGACTAAAACACCCTTTTTACCCGAATCAGAGATCGATACACATCTGAGTGGACTTGTTGATTCAGGTAGTAACTTAAAGTTTTTGACGAATGATATCGATAAGTTCTTGTGTAAACTCTTTTAGATGGAAGCGACTTTATGGTTGATGATGATTTGCTCTCACAAGCAATGAATCTTGGTTTCTCTGAAAAAGATGCTAGAAATGCGTTGAAAATTACAAGGTTTGTGAGAAAATTTGAAATTAGTCTTTATGGTCATATGAAGTGAGGTTTTGAAAAGGTTATTTAGGAACGATCTGGAATCAGCACTACAATATCTGTTCTCCAAAGCTGATGAAAGCACACAAAGAAAAGATTGAAGAGCGTAGACGTTCACACTGACGAAATTATGTATTAATGTGTTCTAGTCCAATACACTCTGCTCATATTCTTACTTTTATGGGTGAATTTAGTGGGTGGTGTTTGCCACTCAATGCGAAGTAGTTGGGGAGTCTAAACATCCGTGATTTTTCTCTTCAGTCAGTGTGTAGTACGACCACATCTCACTGCTTTCCTATTTCTGGGATTTGAGCCGTACGTCAGTTATTGCCGCAAAATATTCTGTACTGCTCGTAGCACCATTGACGCTGTGTCTGTTCCCTTCCTGTGTGATTGCTAATGAGTAGAAACGCTTTCACAAATACTATTTTTAGCCTGATGAGAAATCTAAGAGGAATCAAATAATTGGTCGACTATTAATCATAACAAAGTTTCCTGATACGGGTAGTTTCACTTACTAGATTAGATTAGATTTCACAACTTCGGTCGAGGGTTCACTCGTGAGCCAAACCTGAGTGCCATGTATTTTAAGTGTTAATGGTACTAAAGATTGTAAACTTCAACGAAAATCAGTGGTGAGAGTAGATTCTTGTGGGAATCTATGAGTGATTGGTGTAAGATATGTTGTGCTACTTTATGTGAAATGGATATGAGAGTTTCTTACTCATACATAATATGGGTGTACTTTACTTCTCTTGCTTCTGATATGACAGTACTATATCTATGACATTGTCCTGCCTCCTTGCTAGTTATTTAATCCCTCAACGAAGAACCAAGCGCCAGCGGTGCAACCTGACCTTGGAATTCTTCAAAGTAGTTCGATATTAGTGAACCACCACGGGCATTGTGTTTGTGTGCGAGTGCGTTTAGCTTGCCATACATGTGGAATACGCCAGTCGTGGTGCCATTAATTGTTACTTAACCTTGACTTGCGGTATTGGATATTTGGATATTTGCCTATATAGAAAGTGTGGTCCCAGGGACAAGTTACGTTTGACTAGTGTTTTGGTGATGGAACGGTACCGTTTTCTTGAGAGTCAGGTGAGCCTCACCCTCTGCCTTTCGTTACAAGAACTCGCCAGCTTTTCATTGCATGGGGGGGACCACTCTACGTTTACTTCCTACTTGAATCCTAATGGGAGTCGTGAACTCAGTCCACTTGACCTGTCTACGGATACCAGCTGTATATCGCGATTGGATATAGTAGCATTACCACGTCACAGTGATTTGCTGAACCACTGAGGGATTAAGTAGACGTGATATGGACCCAGTAGAGACTTTATATGGTATTTATCCTTATGAATTTGAATAAGGATGCAAGAACAACGCCAGAGCACGTACACGGTGATTTGGTTAGAAGTGACTGTAGTCGGGTATTTTAAATAGTGCAGTCCAACAACGTCAACACTTCATTTGGCAGGTATTATACTAGGTAGGACTTAGCTGGCGAAAAGATCAAGGTGTTTAGGAGTCTGCTCGCCAGTCATCGCTCACAAATTACATTCGAGGTGATGGAAGCTCCCAGTGAGGGTCCGTCATATTCTTGCATATGTAGCTTTATAGTTTTGCTGTTAAATGATATCGCTATATAGAATGTGCTGTGTACTTTATTTCTTCCGTTCTCATTTACGCAGAAAAGTCCTCAGATACTGGTTTGATTTGAAGCTTCCTATTAATATTGGCACTTAGTAAACGCCTTTTTCTTGCTAAACATCAGATGTTCTGTAACGGTGTAGAATTAAAACACTGGCGGAATAGAACTGGAGTAGGAAGTTCGTGACGTAACACAAAGGATCCATCGTATAGCGTGCTTGAACTATAAGGAGCAAAGTTCACGAATGCATTGTATCCTATGTATTTCCTTATCAATGGTTCATTTCGCCACGCAGACCTTTCTCACTGTCCTTTTCGTATTCCGACGATTGCTTGTTCTGTGACTATTGAAAGCTGTTCTCCCCACCTAACGGTGGATTTGAGTGACCAGTAAACTGACCGCTAATTGATGGCTCTAGTAGTTCCAGTCGCAGTGATGAGTTGCAGCTATCGTGCGGAGCCAATGGAACGCAGCGACCCAAATATGCGTTCTTTAGCTCTCGGCATTGTGTTAAATTGCATAGGTACCCAGGAAAAAAGTGAAGTATTTGTTGAATCTCTTCGTTCACTCCCGGAACCTCCTAGTCCAGTGGTGTATACATTAGTTGATGCGTTTGCCTATTCAGGGATGGGTAATGCACTTAAGATATGGAAGTTGCTCCATATGTGTTCTGAATATTGTGAAACTGAGGATGAGAAAAAGAAGAAAGAAGATAAAAAACTATGATACGTACCATGAATATCTTTACGGCGATACAGCAATGACTCCTCTGTGATCCCATCATGTTCTCAACTTTCCAAGTCTTCTGATTATCAAGAAATTGTCGCCTGTTATCTAGAAAGAACCAAGTTCGTGACAACAACGGAATCGGGCGTCGTGCAAAGGCACCCCGTCGGCAAATTTGAACGTGGGTGTAATGTGCCAACTGGTAACGGACGGTATGAGTACTATAGTGTGCATTTTCACTGTAGTGTTTTCTAGAATTCTTTTAATCGCACCATGTGTACGGGGTGAGACCAGAAAAACCACTCTCTGTACTTAATGGTTTACAAAAAACGTATTTTTGAAAAAGTTCGTTTGACTAGAAATTGACTCTTGCTTAATTTTTATCACTTTGGTGATTCTTCATGAACTACATAAAAATTTCACAACCAAGATATCACAATCCTGCAATGATATTAACATCGACGTCAAAAGAGGAGTTAGGCAAGGCGATACCATCTCGCCAAAATTATTTACCGCCACCCTCCAGAACGTCATGCGAACATTGGAATGGGATAATATGGGAGTGAAAATCGACGGTCGGCAGTTACACCATCTTCGCTTTGCTGATGACATCGTCCTTATAACATCAAGCATTAGCCAAGCGGAACGTATGCTTGACGACTTTGATAAAGCCTGTGGAAAGATCGGTCTTCGACTAAATCTCAAAAAGCGATGTTCATGAGGAACGGATTGGTTTCGTATGCCCCTTCACGCTCAATGTTATGTATGTCTCCGAATGCTCCAGTCACCTCTATCTATGTTGGGAAATCAATGTGATAAACGACTTAGCCCCAGAGTTAAGCAGAAGGAAACGAGCGGCTTGAGGAGCTTTTAAGTGAATCGAGGATGCATTGTAAAGAACACCCGCACCCGACTCCGCGCTCAGCTTTTCGACTCCACAATTCTTCCTGTCTTAGGTATGCGACAGAAACCTGCCTGATCGCTACGTAAGAGGGGTGAAAACTCTCAGCGTTATTGAACACGCAGTCGAAAGGACGGTGTTAGGAGTATCCCGTATCACACAAGTGAGAGAAGAGATCCGGAGCTCCGAACTGCGTCAACGATCAAAAATCAATGATGCCGTTCTAAACCCCAAATTATCGAAGATAAGGTGGACCGGATATGTAATGCGTATTAACGCCTACCGATGAACAAAAGCTGTTACTGAGTGGATTCCTTGGGATGTCAAACGAACTGCAGGAAGACCACCGACCCGATGATCAGAATTCTTCACGAAAAGCGTAGAAGAAAGGTATAATGTTCAACGAGTCCTTAAAGCGAGTAGAACCCACTGCGCTACTCTTGCGCGCGACAAAGATTTACTGGTGCCCACTCGAGTTACTGGACGATCAACGGGACGACAGGTGATACAGGTGAGGGTGATTGTGCGGTTTGTGCGGATATTGAAGAAACCGAGATAGATCTAGTGTAAAGTGCAAAATGCTTCCAAATTTCGAAAGCAATGTATTTGTATGGCAGACCATAGTAACAAGTGCTAGTTCGCATATCACTCATACATATAGAACGATGAACCAAAATCTTCTCTAAGTTCTACCATGTTCAAACCCCAACACTCTCTAGTTATTATTAATTAGTTATTAATTATTTTTCATCGTGAAAAGCAAGCCAGAAAGTCCGCAACCAACAAAAAATTGCTCGTATTCCATTCGGAGGGCCACGCTAAACGACTCGTGTCCACTACGTAGCAATGGTATCAGACCACTGGTTGTTCACAACTCCTCTCAGTTATTCTTCCAGTCTTTTTTGAGTACTTCTCCACTAGGTTTCATTTGTGATACTCATGTTGATGTCGATTTAGTAGTAATTGTTGAACGGTTTTAGATATATTCGTCGTTTTCTTTCTCAGCAATCGCGAGGTTGTTAAACAGCATACGTTTAGCTCCTTAGATCTTGTAATTGTCGTTCAGGTTTTCATCTTTCTGTTTGTGTTATTGAAGCGTTTGACCTAGTAAGTTGCGTATTTGTGTACCTTTCCAGGCTCTGAAGAAGGCGATTCTGCCGAAACGTCAGCTACGATTGTGTTGTCTGTGAGTTATTGTATGGAAGTAAACGTATGCTGTTTAACAACCTCGCGATTGCTGAGAAAGAAAACGACGAATTCATAATCCAATGCCGAGGTTAATAGAAAGTTGATCCTGGGTACTATTACAAGTTTTAGATGTATCAGAATGAACTGGTTGAACCATCTCGAGAAGAACTCGAGAAATACTTTGCCAGATTGTTACGAGCTTCTGACAGCCTTGAGGGCAAATGTTTGAATGGATCATGTTGCGATCGGTATGATACAGACGGAAGTGGTAATTAGCAAATATTTGTTTTTTAATCCATCGTAACTTTTGGTATGTGAAAGTGTGAACCATCGACAAGTCTTAAACTACATTTTGCAGCGAAGATCAGGAGCGTCATGCCACCTGAAAATATTTTGAAGAGTGTGGAATATGAGGAGCCACCAAAGGGTATTGAAGCAGAGAGACTGACGGATGTCATGCGCCGCCTTCACTCGCTAACCGCAGCAGAGATGCGCACTCTTCTCAAGCAAGTGCACCAATCTGGACAGTAGGTTCATCACCTGTTTTCCTCTTGTACTTCCTAGATACTGTGCCTAGAAAGGTTGGATTCTTAAAAATTTTTTGTATAGTGTGCAGTCCTCCCAAAGGTTTACCGCCTCATCGTGGTTGCGAGGTGTTTCTTGGAATTGCTAAACCAGCAAAACTCCAAAGAAATGGAGATTATGCTGTGGCCAGCACAACTAGTGAGGACGGACCATCCAAGTATCCAAGTATAATGTACAGCTGGTTGCGTATTCATCTTACATATATTACAATGGTAGAAGCTTCTAAAATAATGATGAAGTTCAGCACCTTTTAGAGGTACCAAGAAACAACTTCGAGCACGGTTACGTCGCTATTATCGAAAAGAGTTTTCGTTGTATCGAATGTTCCATGAAGGTGAAAGCATGCCCCGATTTGGAAATAAAACGGCTCGTCATTTCGACTTTCTAGTGGTGTGTTGGGACGATTTCATTTCCATTAGATATTTGATAACTCCGAGTTCTTCTTTTTTACGAGAAACTTTGGTCTGTATCTGTAATTCCAGGCTATCGATTTCGAATGCACTTGTGTGGAAGTGATTTACGACTATCCCCATGAAATCATCGAGTTTCCCTCTGTACTCATTGATGTTCACCAAATGAAGATAGTAAGTGATTTCATACAGTTAACCGTTTCATCTGTTAATATCCGGTATTCCACACGAATTGGGTTTTCTGCTACTCATGCTTTCTAGCGAAGTATTAATAAAATAATCTGGTGTAACATGTTAGACAGTATTAATATCTTATTCTTTGATACTTGGAAGGCCCATCTTTACTAGTGCAAGCCCAAGAATATCTCCCGTTGATGATTTCTCGCGCAGTCGTCGTCCATAGTGATGATCTGCTTCAAACATGATAACGTTCGAGATGTACAGCCCGTGATCCAAAAATTCGTTCCCATCTGCGAATTCAAATGATTGACGTGAACTACAAACACTTCAGCCCGTCGTAAAGGTTTTCCTAGGAGAGGACATTTGCATATTTTTGAATCTACTCCACAGTTCTTTTCGTCCATCTGCCATTTACTGTTCTTATTATATAACTATCCAGGTTTTGATGTCAGTTTGTATCTCCTGGGTTTCGAGGATGGAACGTATTTCGATAATCCGAGCTGCGCATTCTGCTTAAACTTTATGGCCTTGAATCGAAGCGATGAGAGGAGAATTTTCTCCATATCCATTGAACTCTTAAGATCACAAGCACGAGGTGGTCTGTTTAATGAGAGAGTCACTTTGTTTTGTTTACTTCCCACCACAGGTTTCCTTTCAACTGAGTTTTGTTCTTCGATTTATGCATACTTCTATTATTTGTCCTCCTTCGTGGTGAAACTACTTGAAGAGCATTTCTGTTTCATTAGTATTCCTCCGAAATGTGACGTTGTCTTCAACAAAACGAACGTTTGATAGGAGCTTCTCACCAGTGCGTATGCCCTTTTCGCCCCCAGCGAAATGCCTTTGTTATTCAGTGCAACGCGACGGTAAGTACCTTTGACGAGGTGGTGTCGACTTGTCCGATTTCCTTCCCTGTGCGAGTAGTAAGGACTTGAGACATAGCTGTATCTTCTTCGTCCAGACCTGATAACATAAATTTTTCATGCAAGACAAGAGCACTCCTTGATCGACGAACGCTGATAGGATTGTATTCGTTTCTACGCTATCAAACGCTTTTTCATATTCGACGAAAGTTAGGATAAAGGGCAGTAGTGAGATAATTTGCTTATGAAGATAGAGTGGGGTGACATTCGAGTTGGGGACATATATATATATATATATATATATATATACATATATGCATATATATGTATATGTATGTGTACATGTATATACATATATGTACAGTATATGCACATATAGTACATATATATATATATATATATATATATATATACATATATGCATATATATGTATATGTATGTGTACATGTATATACATATATGTACAGTATATGCACATATAGTACATATATATATATATATATATATATATATATATATATATATATATATATACGTTTACTAGGTATTTTTCGCCAGACGTTGCTGCGAAGTTCCATTTGATAATGGGTGCTCAACTTCGGAACACAACTCTACCACTCTGTGAGTGGCTCACTATAGAATGTGAGTGTGCAACATATACGGTGACATTTCGCTTGTGGAACACATTTTTTTCAACTGCAATTTTCTTTCCGAGTTTTTTCCAGTTACCTTTTTTTCAAACGTTCTCTCTGGAGTCATTTATGACCTCATTAAATCTCAAGCGGACAACGAGAGTTCAGCAGTCTTTTGCTCTCTTGAGTTTTTGAAATGTGATGGTCATTGATGTTTGGTTCAAATGAAACCTCTGCGGAATATGAGGTTTCTGCTTTATTCACCATTGAGCTACAAAGTATTTGGCACGGTACGACGCAATATTCGGTTATCGAGGCTCTCTCGGTTTTTGGGTAGCCTCTACTCTGAAACTTACACACCGCCGTGCCACAGTGTTCATGGGTCTTCGTCAGTTTTCAATTTTCCTTACTTCTGTCTGAACAACGAGAAGTGATGGGAGTAATTTGCACTTTAAAGTACTTCCCCGAATAGGTATATATCGTTCTGGCTTCGTTGACTCTTCTGTGTGTTAGGTTGTGGTTGTGGTTATTTTTCTAGTTCGCTGATCACATTCGGGAAATCGCTTGTTACTTTTTCTTTGTAGAACTACTTACGTAAAACTCTTGAATATGCTTTTCCCAAGTAATAGCAGATTTCGTACAATTTTTAGGTGGACACATTTCGAAGTTTTGTAAGACCTGAGAAGAACCCAATCTTAGATCCTTTCTGCATTGAGCTGACAGGTGAGTTAATTTTTCCAATCTGTTGCATTCTTTAAATTACTGGCAACGAAGGTTTGAAAATATTACTTTCTCCTTTAGTATCTGCAGCTCTACATAATGAGCTGTTAGAAAATTTGCCGACGGAAACGCAAAGCGAAGGCCTCATTGGTGCAATGTGTAATACGCGAGTCCCCGGAAAGGGTGATTGTGGTTCGAACTGGCCCGGGGTCCAAGTTTTGCAAACATCTCAGCATCGTTGTGGTTATATCTCACATAGTCCTCTGCCGTGAAAAATCATAGTGGGCAAGAAATAAAATGTTAACAATCTTTAGTTATTACACGATTTTTTTTATCTACGAATATTTTGCTGTGAATGGTTATGGATGACATGCTACTCAAATTTTACTTTTATGCCCCTTGTTAGCGGAATATTGAAATCACTAGTAAATAAAAACTAGTTGAAGAAGTTGCCATGCTGATTGAATTTTCTCAATAACATGAACAATTCCTTCTTCGCTGTTCACTCGCTTACGTGAATGGACTATTCTTTTGAAGTATGACTAGGAAAGACTGGGTACTGAGTGTAAGAAGTAGTTTCGATTAGTTTTTTGGGAATATGTCGCATTCCTCACACTGCTGTGTATTGTTAGACCGAAAGTTATGACCAAGTAGAACTTCCACGATGAAATGTAGTAGTCCGTGCATGTAAAGTATAGTAAGCATTCCAACTTCCATGTATATTACTAGGTAATATTATGGGTAACGTCAGCATTTTCGTTCCAGCAATTATAGAACGGGTCATCTTCAGGAATTTCTCAAAGTACCGTGGATTCTGCTCCAGTCTTCAAAGATGTTTATAGATTGTTTCGTGAATGGATGGCAACCCACAATCTTGGCGATAGTGGATGCCGTTTTGCATTTGTAACAGATGGGTGGGTGGTACTATACACTGCAGAACGTTGAACTCATTGGCGATAATATGATTCATATATGACTGGTATGTAGGCGAAATTATTTGTTATATTTTTAAATGGTTTCTCAGCTCGTAAAGAACTTCATTGCAATAAGCATGTCTTACAACAAGATTGAGCCACATATAGCGCAGTGGTCGGAGGTGCTCTGCAAAATGAGTAAATGGGATCTATGTCAGCGCCCCAGGCCCACGACGCCCTCCATTCCACCGGGGTCGGCAAATTGGTACAACTTGTCTGGAAAGATAACACTGGCTCGATACATCGGTGGAGCACCGCGTCATTGTAAAGGCCAGATAAGCATTCAATCATCTCCAGCGATGCTTAATGAGGTCAAATGTATGGCGCATCCTTCAGGGATGGATCGACAGCAAGAGCTTTATCCTTTTTATTTACAAGATTATGATGTGGCTAGCTGTCACGTTTGTATTAAAAATTCCCAACTTACGCTGCATTAACATCCTTTTAATGTTTCATTTTCTCTTTACATTTTATATTTCTCTACTAAATGGGAGTACTATTCGTATTTTTATTTACATGGCACGTCATCCTTCCTTGCATCGGTCATCCACGAAGGATTTTAGAATTGCGTGTGGGTTAGGCTGTTACTTAAGTTTTGTGTTCTTCATGAATAGCTTTGAATACTGGTTAAGTGAATCCCTCGCGGAATCATGGGAACGCTGAACTAGCGCATTCCAAAGTCTTCACCAGAGGCAATCGCCGGTCTTTCAGCATGAGCTGACTTCTTAGTTAAGACGAGTCTGGTCGGACTGTTGAGGACTGTCAAAGCAACGATTTGATTTAGTTAAGCTGGCAAAATATTGTCCCCACATCAATAGAATGGTGTATCAAAACAATCGCCACGTCAAAACCGTGGTAGTTACTACGCGAACGTTCTAACAGGCAAACACATCCTTGACATAAAGGTTAAGCAAATGTTCTAATTGTTTGGTTTTGAAATTCTTGTATGGCATGTGTCCACCTGAAAAAACATGACTCGCTCGATAACTCACTAAACTGATATTCTGCTATGATAATGTTTCAGACCACACGACTTGTGGAAATTCTTTCAGTTTCAGTGCATTCTGGTGAGTTCCACGTTCCTGTAACATACTATGTTTAAACATTCTGAATCTCTTCGAACTGAAACGGACTCGGGTTTACTTTCAGTCTAACTTTGAAGTAATCCCTCACGACTGTCGTTTCTTCATAAACATTAAGCGCATCTTTGAACAAAGAGTGATGAAGCTGGTAAAAGGAAACGGAGTAAGAGTTCTGCATTTGTAACCTTTTACTCACTGTTGTGGCACATTTGTTTTTTAGCAGTCTGGCATTCAAAATATGCTTTCTCATTACGGGTTGAGTTTCAAAGGTCGTAAACATTGTGGCCTTGACGACGCCATCAATATTGCAAGATTATGCATAAAAATGATGGAAGATAAGATAGAGTTAAGGGTAGGAATTGGTTTTAAGTCCTTTATTGTTACTCTTGGGTCATTTTCTTTCATGGGCCACTTCCAGTTCATCAAAAACGTCATGTGTTTATAGATCAACCAGAAAATGACAAGGCGACAAGATAGAAATGAGGTAATGTAGGACTAAGTCATTTCCCCTGTAAACCCATTACAACGTGCTTCGTTCAGGACCGCCGTCTAGACGAACTGGCAAGATCTGACCGAGGCGAAACTTCCGACTATCATATTTGGCACAGGAAATTGCCGCTTAAATTGCGGCATGTCACGCGCGATGAATTCTTAAGTGAAGAGTATTTGGATTGTGACTCATGTGACGATCTCGACGAGTAACTTATCTTTGCCTTATATTTTTGGAATAAATATTATGTAAACAAACTTATGTCTTCTTACTAGGAAAAAACGAAGTTATTGTTCATGTAGTAAATAAAAAGGATAAAGCTCTCGACGTTGATCAATCCCTTAGGGACGCGCCATGAATTCGACTTCACCAGGTATCGCTGGAGACGATTGAATGCATATCTGGCTTTTACAATGACTCGCGGTGGCCGACTGATGTTTTGAAGTCTGGTACCAATCTGCCGACCTTGGACGAATGTAAGGTTTGGTGAGCCACAGGCGTGGGGATCGATCCCAAGTGTGTGTCGCTGGGCGCCTCCAACCATTGAGCCACACGCGCCTTCGTTCATGCAGTGATTAACAGAAACTCAGTCCAAAGAGTCACATCTCAGCTTCTTTCTGACCACTTCAATCCTATTCTAAACAGTTTTAGTACTGATCGTGTGACGTTCTGCTATATCTGTAGGCAACCAGTTTCTCACTTTATTCACCGGCTACATGAAAGACTCCGAAGCTGTAAGGTTTCCTTTCTTTAATTCTGTATTGTTCTATTCCTACTCAACCAAAAATAATAATTTATTCAAATTATGTGATAACCCGTTTTACCATGAGATCAGAGCAAGCTTTGAATGCTTTAAGACCAACTAGAAGAGTCTGCACGTCTGAATACACAAGACAAGACAGAGGATCCAAATCGGTGTGAATACTATGCCATAGGATGAACGTACTGCTACCTGTCCATGCTCGAAATCACCTTCAACCTTGTAACACAGCAATACTTCAAACAAAGCGATCAGAGCGAGGCGCATCGCATTGAATCCAAATCTAAACACAGTTCTCTCCAAGTGCAAAAATCGGTGATTTTATACGAACACTGGGGAAAAGGCTGTGAGGTTGTTCACTCAACTCTACCATCTTCTCCTGGAAGTCAGTTGATCTTTTTTTTTCAACCACTCAATACCACCGAACTGTACCGCACCTCAGGATCGGCCCTTTGAAATCCTTGTACTCGAACACGGATCTCACGAAAACTATGAAAACGAAGTAGCAGTTGAAGGCGCTGGCGATGAACAGTGGAGAGAACACGACCCAATAGGAGACGACGTAGATTCGATACAGTTTAAGTGGCTAGAATGTCACATATTGGATATGGATATTGGGCAAAAATAGATTTCTTTACACTCGAAATTCCAAAATTCCACTTGCCAGAATCAGGAGGAAGACAAGGAGCGAAGCCACATGCAACCACAACTCGAACACCGTCAGTCCTGTCCAGTAGATCAGCTCGGACAACGACGGAAGCATCGCGGACACGCCAGAGACGCCAGGGCGGAGCCGTACGGCGGTGGCAGAGACGCAGGGTGAGAACGATTTCGTGGGAGCCTTGGAGCGCGCCATCATGGGACTTCTAGAACTCTCACTGCGTTCTGAACTGGCTCACCCGATGGACAGCTGGGCGATTGTGATGCCATCATTAGCACAGTGTGTCTTGATTCTAGCTGGAAAACACATGTATGCACGAGAACACACCCATACGAAGTAGCAATAAATCCTGGTCACTTTTTACACATATATAACAAATTCGGCCCAACTTGTCCAGGCCTTCGTTGGATCCATCTCGAGACCGCCATTGCTATCATCCCTCTGGAGCCGGGAGATGGGTAGCAAAGTTGTTTGGGACAGTCTCACTTCCTCTAATCCACATAGGATAGCCAGAGCACGACTGTCTCAAGATTCTAGGGAGAATGGACTCGACCGGCACTCAACGACATTCGTGACGAGGACGGAAAAATCCAGCAGCAACTGAATCCACAAGAGTGAAGTTCGAGGAGCTCGGTGTATGGTGGATGCGCGAAAACGAATCGAGTGCAAGGTGTTCAGTTTCGTATAGTGTGATGCGTGTGATATTACGTCAACTAATAATAAGAAACAATGCAACAGATTGATTTCGTGTATCTGGTATGGACCGGACTTGAAATCCTACATGGATATTCGAGAAGCAGTGTTGCATGTACTGCTCTGTCCAAATGAACTAGAATAATGAAGAGGAATTCCGCTCTCTGTGATTTCACAAGCACGAAGTGCGATGGATACTTACTTGGATGCTTTGTTAGCCCGTCCTCATTGGTTATGCGAACCGCAACATAATTTCCATTTTTTCGGAGTTTTGCTGGTTTAACCAACGTGATTTCCTGGAGTCCCGAGGTCATTCTGCCCCAGATCGTCATCACCGCAGGCAGTCGCCACTCTTGTGGATCACAGGGAGATTTGCAACCATGTTTGACCATTTTGATACCAGATCTATGGTGGAACCTAATATTTGTTTACTCTTAACTGGGCTTCCTGGTAGAAACGTCGGACTCCTCAGCTTGTGAGGCTCTACTGGAGGGATGAATTCCCTCGCCGTACATCGCAGCCCGACACCCAGGAACATCTACCAACCACGATCAGGAGGTAAACCGTTGAGAGGAGTTCATGGATAACTGACAAAAAGGGAAACCATATGTTATTATTCATTCGCTTTTCTCATCTTTGACATTTAGTTCTGCTCGCTCGTGTGCACAGGAAAGAACCACGCTTTTTGCATAGAACATTTCATATCTATTGTTTTTGACGAAGAGCTTCTCTCGTCGTGGCTCGTCGGGTTACCTCGTTGTTCACGTCAATGTCCAAGCCACTACCGGAGTACACGCCGTGAAGCCTGAGACTATGTGGATTGAGGTCCCTTAATTGAGGATCGTAGACGTTTATCTACGTTACCATTAAACGTACACTGACTCGGTCGAGCACCAGAAAATCTTGAATTTCTCCATGTAGGGTATAATACTAGTCTAGAGGGCTTTGCTTCTTCGAGGAACTCAAGATGTGTGGTTTTTTTTCTGGAATCTTAGCAAAGACTGTAGGTCAATGGTCTTTCTGCAGTATATTTGGAAAAAAGCAAGAAACGACTTGCAACGAAAAAAAACCGAAGTGTGAGGATGTGTTTATTTTTAAAAATTTCTCTTCCTGTTTCCTCCACTTTGGTGAGATGTCGGAGGAGTTCAGACGTTGTATTCCACAACAGATGAGGGGGCTGTACGTCGTCGAACGAAACAGGCCACTTTCCACTTGTGAAAATGTGGAATTACACGATGACCAAAGAATTGAGATCACCACTACGTTGGTGTTTGATAGAGGCAAAACCAGCCAGATCGATCGCGAACAATTGCGAGTCAATTGTGCTGCAGTTCTCGTAGATGTTCTCTCTCCGCAGAGGTTACCTAGTGGCAACGGTCAGTGGGCTTGGCCATGCTTCTACAGAACAAGAGTTGATTGTTAGCTCATCTTGTTCTACCATGACATCTTGAATATGTGTAGAATCATCTAAGTCTGCGAAATTTATTGCCTTTTAGCACATGTTCTCTTCTGGATATTGGATGGGAACGGGAACATCTGTGAATGCTAGGTTGTGCTGCTCCACAAGTGGTGTTGTTCCAAATACACCGATCGCTCTAACCGCTCTACGACTTTCACTCTAAGCTTTTTTATTCAGTAGCTTCATAGACAGCTTTATGACTTTTATGAGGCTTAACGATTAGAGGACATATTCACAATTGTTGGAATGCCTTACATAACCTTTTCTAGATACCTATTGAATGTTAATTACATGACAATAATTTATTTTAAATTTTCACCCTGTCTCAACTTTTCACGAAAAGATAAGGTTGAGGTGAGCATGCTGTTTAAAGATGTTTGATGAAGTACGACAACACTACAAGGCTTTGCGCGACTTTTAGCCTTCTAAAAGTGTCATGGAAATCGCAATGGTTCTGAAATGTCGTTCCATAACATCTAGTGGGGGACAAAAGTATGTGAAAAAACGTACTAGCTTAGAAATGAGAACGATTTTAGAATAGAGGCTTAGCTAACAAAGCGGAATCCCAGTGTAGTGATGTTTTGTCCAAAGTACAATGTTTTGTTTGACCGGAGAATCTTTCGCGGTCCTATGGTCGCACGTTAGTTTCAGCTTTGTATAGTGGATGGGGACCTCAACGAAGGCTGAAAAACAGGAGACTATCCACTGCTATCGGATAACCGTTTGAGAACCTTTTTTGAAGATGGCTCGAAAACCTGCGGAATCCGAATCGACAGTTCCACGCTACTGAAATTGATTTAGACAGATGACGATGTACTCCGTAGCGATGATCAAAAGCTCAAGCAGCAGTTCATGTCAGACGCGAAATTCCCATTAAAAGGGCGTAGCCTTCCGCAAGGATATGTAGGACCATGTATTTTGGCGTCTTGATTCCTAACTAATTCACTACAGAACAGAAATTAAATCCGAAAAAGTGCAAGAATAACCGCTCTGCAACCAGCAAAAGGACCAGTTCTGGCTGTGGCTAGACAACGGATTGAGTTATGTGCATTTGAGATCAGCGAGAAAAAGTACTAGGTTAATGTTTAGATAACAATAGCTGCCGTCTTTTTCACTGTCATGTGTTTTGCTATGTTGGCTCAGAAAACGTCTTCTCGTACTAAAAAAGTTCGCTCATGTCCTGACGAGGTACAGTGTACTTTGATAACTACTTTAGTTATTCGATTGTGAGTTGTTTGTGCGCTAAAAAGTATTTCATGAAAAGGCATTTATTTGACATTCTCTCCCTCCCTCTCTCTCTCTCTCTCTCTCTCTCTCTCTCTTTCTCTCTTTCTCTCTCTCTCTTGAACACCTTTTCAACGAATTTTGGTTCTCTGCAAAGATGTGGTGCTACTCAGTAGCATCGCAAATTTTCGTTTTGAGGAAAGATTTGGTTTCCTCTATAGAAGCATTAACAGTGTCTGTACTTTACTAAGACACTGACCAACGAACAAAAAAATCCTTAGCAGCTAGAGTAGTCTGTCTGAGGAATAGTTGTGCTAAAAATAAGCAGAATAAGCATAAGCAGAAATATTTTTTGAGCAAATAACCGGAGTAACTGGAAATTTTAATGGTGTTCTCATTCCAGATATGAGAATTGAAACCGGATCGGCTGTAGACGCTTCGTAACTCCTTGACTTAGACGTGGCATGCACGAGTTGCCTTGTTCCTCATGTCGTGATTTTGCGTTTTTTCAAATATGCAGCGCTAAATCGCTTTATTCTCTGCGAGCGTTTACCGTCTCATCCTGGACTGGGTGTGCTCTACGTGTGTTTCACTACCCTGTGTAACACTGAACTTCTTGTGGCTTTTTTTTTCGAAGAATGAGCGCGCAGTACTGAAAGGTGCATGTCATCCCACTAATTCGTTTGATCTCACAGTGACACTAAGGAAAAGCTTTCTCCAAGCATTTATTATGATATGTTTAGAACGTTTTTCTTTTGAAGGCATAATGTTCTATCCAAAATTTGTCGCTAATCAGTGGATGTTCCTTGTTCGAGGGATGTCGATCTGCTTAGTGGTGAGAAGAATAGACGAGCACCTTTCCTCGTGGCGAAAAGGCTGTTATGGCGAATCAGAATTGTCCTTGACTTGTATCATAGGCTAATTCAGACGACGAGTTTCCTGTTTATGCCAGCCACACTAGCTCGTGCCTTTCGTCGTCACGTAACCGTATAAGTACTAACGATCGTAGAGCATTTACACTTATGCCTATTCTATCCTGAACGTAGATTGAAGTTAGATTCTTTAATTGAGTAAATATGAATATGAAGTAAGTAGAAGCAATTCCTGCCCCACTTCCAATAAATTAGCTCACATCTATTCTCGAAAACCCTGGAACAAGCATCCAGTTAGCTCCCGACTTCTTACTAAAGGCGGCAAAAATAAATATCGTCAAATGAAAACTATCGTCATAAGAGAGTGTGAGCTTTCTAAGTTTGTTGACTGAGGCGCGCCAAAATAGAAGCACGGTAGAAGGAATTAAAACTTCATCGTTTTGTGCTCGAATCGCTCCGTTTTTAATTTAGTACATTCCTTTCCAAATTTCTTATGGTTCATAGCAGCTCTATGGATTAGAAATTTCATGGTTTTTAGCACCTATGTTCTTTATTTTCTTCTTAGATACAAAGCTTGCTGTTTTCACATGACATGCTGATTCTAGCAGTTCCAATAGTTTCATTTTCTTATAATCATCGTGAATGAATACAACTGGACTCGTATGTTGGTGGTTATCCCTTGTGAATCGGAGGGATGTTTTTCGTCTTCACGTCTACGATTCGACGACAGAGATTCATGAGATTAGTTGACCGACCGTTCAGGCAATCGAGAGCAGTGTATTAGTTTGAACCTATACGATCCTTTCATTATATTCAATTAGGACCCATATCAGGTCTACACAATGACTTGTCTG